ACCACAACCTTATTTACTATGGCTTATTTGTATGCTGCTGATACAGAAGAGTTTTCTGTGTGTGTTTCCCTACAGACCTCTTTGGGTAGAGTTTCCCCGCGATTCAAGCACGTTTGCTGTGGAGAACCAGTACATGATTGGTAAACATGACTAGATCTGCTGTGTAATACTGCTAATACAGTCACTATCAGTGTGGAATATGGAAGAAAAAAAATAGAAAAAATTACTTTTGTCCCTCGTTTTAGTCAAATTGTGACCATGTTGTAGCAATTTGTTTTAATTTAGTTAAATTGTGATCACAAATGAGAGAACGTATTAGTAGTACACCGTAGCCAAGATTTAACTAAAATGAGTGAATGAATAAATATTCTTAATTCTTAATTCGTGGCCAATACATGCAAGGAAAACAACTTTCCAAGCATACATTCTCGAGCGTAATATACTTTTTCTACTCCACTAAATTCTACAAAATCCTATCAGTCCTTGTTGTTGAATTCCTTGTTGAATTCAACACTTTTCAAGACGCGATTGCAGTGTCCGTGATTGCAGCGATTTCTTCGTGAGCTGATTGTTTTCAATAACCCTGTTGAAACGGTTCACAAATCTCACTGAATGATTCATTCACAAGTCATCGGACTGATCCGACTGCAGGGATTCATTCAGATTGAGTCTCAGGTCAGCAATTCACTGAGATATCTGACTCAAAATATGACAAGTACCATGAGATCCTCGGAGCTCGAGCTTGTGCGGACTGATGGCGTGAAAACAGATGCTGAATATTAAGTATTGATTATTGTATAAAAAAAAATCACATTTAGGTCATAAATGTGAGTCATTTAGCTGTTTAAGCCTACTTGAATGTGGACATGTCAATATTAACAAAATGTTGTAACGTTTATTGTTTTGATAGTGTATTTTGGTAATAAAATAAAATGTTTGGTTATTTGATGAATGCAAATCAATAAATATTCATTGTTTTCATCTACTAATTTTCCTTATTCTAGGATAAAATATATAAAATTGCAAAATACTGGTTCATCTATCACTTACTTTTAATACTCACTCTAAGTACATTAAAAATCCAAGTACAGTACTTATGTACTTCTACACTAGAAGTGCTATATCTTTTCCTCTTGATTTGTGTACTTCATCCACTATTGGTCACTATAAATGATATGAGACATTTTTAAAACATAGCAGTCCAATATCAGATACCATTCTAACTAATGGACATTTTTCAGGCAGTGCTCTCCTTGTGTGCCCTGTGACAGATCCTGGGGTCACAGAGGTCAGGGTTTTGCTCCCAGGGTCTGATGAGGTAAGCCTAATTCACCAATGAATTGTACTGAAGGTTAAAGTGTGTTCATAAGAGATGTTTTGTGTGTTTGAAAGCTGTGGTACGACACAAACACGGCAGAAGTACACAAGGGTGCCAGAACTCTGGATCTGCCAGTGACTCTGAACACCGTGAGTGACTCGCATCACATCTCTGATACAGCAGTCTACTGAATATAGTAGTCATACAGAGTTATTCACGGTATACCCTCTGTGTCAGGTGCCCGTGTTCCAGCGTGGCGGGACAGTGGTTCCCAGGAGAGCAGGCTGTGGGTCCTGTACAGCAGACTTACAGCAGCATCCAATCACTCTCACTGTGGCACTGGACACTAAGGTGACCACATGACAATAAAACAGAAAGTACTGGGTGGTACCATAGTACGGGTCAGGGATGGAATCAGATGCTAATATCATAATATACATGTATCACAGTTTCCACAAACAATATTAAGCAGCACAACTGTTTTCCACATTGATAATAATGTTCCTTGAGCAACAAATCAGCATATTAGAATGATTTCTGAAGGATCATGTGACACTGAAGACTGGAGTAATGATGCTGAAAATTTAGCTTTGATCACAGGAATAAATTACATTTAAAAATAAATTGGTTAGTGTTAAGTTGCTTGTAATTATGGATAATTTACTGTTATAACTATAGTAAGTACAGGTACCTGTAATAAGGACACAATAAAGCTGAGTGTGTATCAAATTTGTGCTTATATCGCCCACTCTAAAGACTTAATATTACTATGGTACCATTTTATTTTCATATTTATGTTCTACAGTATTTACATGGTACTCTAAAGCAACGTTTTCCAAAGCATTTGGGAATGCAATGTGCACTAGGTTCTCTTTATTTACATTCACATAATGTTCAGCATTTTTTGGATTGAAGTTTACAGCATTTCACCAGTATTCCATCAAAATAAAATGTTAGAAGCTTAAGGGTTTGAAGTTTGGAAGTTAAGAATTTAAAGTGCGCCTATTATGCTTTTTCAAATATGATCTTTTATGCAGTGTGTAATATAGCTGTTTGTTAATGTAAACGGTCTGCAAAGTTTTAAATATCAAAGTGCATGATGATGTATATTATGAGAAAATTCTAATGTTTTTTTTTTTTACCTTTGATTCACATAAACCTGTTGTAGGAGACCTCTAAAACAATTATGAACCTTTAAAATAGCATAATAGGGGCACTTTAAGACATTAGAGTTGTTACACAGAGAGTTGTTAAAATAAAAGAATTGTTATAATTATTATCAAATAATAATTGTTTTCTTTAAGTAATTGTGATTTACAACAGTAATATATTCTGCTTTCATTTGTTATTATAAGTTATTTAATTAATAATAATTATTATTATTTCTTTTAAAATATTTTACAAATAAAAACAAAAAAATTTGACCATTAACCATCATCAGAAAAACATGAATATGCGAATGCGTTTTTAATTTATAGAAATATTAACTTAAAACCTCAGGGGGTACTTCAATTAAATATTTTCGGATGACAAAAAAAGTTTTGGAACCCCTGCTCTAAAGTATTTAAAATTATACATGTCCAGAAAACATAGTATTGCAAGTGAACATGTCCAAAGAAACATGGTTGTGCATGATTGTTTTTGTTAGTGCCTCGTGATCAGATCTTTGAGGAGCCCAACATTAAACAAGATTTGAACACACACACACACACATAATAATAGACCGCATTGATTTGGATTATATGTTTTGCATTGCAGGGCAATGCTGATGGATTTGTTTATCTGGATGACGGCCACTCTTTTAGTTACAGAGACCAGATGCAGTTCTGCCTGCGCCGGTTTAGCATGCGAGTTGGCAGGCTTGTTAGCAGGTAATGGCTCAACATCACTTTTCATTTTACTTTATATTTTAGGGATGGTCTTTTATTTATAAGTTTGATCTTTTGGTACTGTTTACACAAAATTTGAAATGTAAACAGTTAGAACATGGTATATACCATTGTGTGTGTTCAGAAAGCTCAATACGCCGTTCTCCTTGTGCCGTGTGTTTTCAGCCGTGCTGATGATAAAGGCTTGTTTGTCTCAGATGACAAAGTGGAATCTGTGGTCATTCTTGGTCTGAATAGTTTGAAAAGAAAACCCAAGCTCAAGTCAGGTGTGTAGACGGCAAACGTTTTCTTTTGTGGGAACTATTAGTAGAATACTTCATGCATAAATAATGGGGTGTTAAATATAAACCAGAGAGTTATAATATAAACCTTCTGTTTCTCTCTTTAAGGTGCGGCGAAGACACCAGTCGTGTTTGAGTTCGATGTAAAACGAGGTGTATTAACTTTAACTGGCTTGGGCCTAGAAATACACAAAGACTGGGAAATAATAATATAGTGAATGGTATTTTTCAAATGTCCCGGATTGCATTATTTTTGTTTTATTTTTCCAATTTTAATTTTGGTATTTTTCAGATGCTGTTGCATGCCTTAAAAAGTGTCAGCAGCTTATAATTGCAATAAAACATTATAATTTGGTTAATTAAATCAGCAGTTTAATATTAAAGATTCCCTCCATAATGATTGTCTACCTCAAGAAATAAGTTTGTTTTAACGTGATTAATAGCTGTTTTCCTTCGCCACACTTACATAATACTGTAGATCTGACATGATGGAGGTGAAATTTGTTTTCAAAAGAAATAAAATTGCAACAACATCTTAATTTGTAAATAAAGAATTCTGAAAGAGCAAAGTAATTTTGTTTTTTTTTATGATCCATATACAGTACCATTCAAAAGCTAAGAACATTTTATTTAAGAAATTTAAAATATATATAAAAAAAAGATATTTTTATTTAGTAAGGATCCATTTAATTGATCAAATGTGACAGTAAATACATTTATGTTACAAAAGATTTCTATTTCACATAAATGCTGTTCTTCTATTCCACATAAATCCTGAGAAACTGTATCATGATTTCCAAAAATAAATGAATAATATTAAAAGAAATGTTTCTTGAGGACAAAATCAGCATTATTAGAATGATTTCTGACGGATCATGTTACACTGAAGACTGAAGTTATGATGCTGAAAATTCAGCTCCATCATAAGAATAAACTACATTCTAAAACCCATTAAAATAGAAAACAATATGATTGGTGCACCAAAAGATATTAGTAAAAATCTTACCGACCCCAAACTTTTGAATGCTATTGTATGATACAACTGAACATTCAACAATTTTGGTTACAGTAGATGGTCGATAATTATCCACACAAATGATGCGTTGATAAAGTGATATAATATAGAGAGTTAGTTAAGTTAGGTCAAGCCTGTGGTTATGCTGAGAGTGCTTAATGCTGAACTCTATTGAGAACAGGTTTAAAGGCTGTGAATGCCTTCTGCTGAGGCAGGCCATCTCACTGGCCTCTCTTTGCAGGACCGCTTTCCTTTGTGTCGCCCTACAATGGCGGCACGAGAGCGCAACCCTCGCCCCAATACTCATTGTTCATCAGCCAATGGGAGAAGCCCAAAGAGAAGAGTGTAGCATTTTGTGTATGCATGTGTATGTATGCAGGTGTGTTTGTGTGTATGTGTTTGTGCACGTAAAAGGAGTGTGTTGTTCACACGTTGTTTTTTTCTTCTAACCCTGGTTTCTACTCCCTGACCGCATGAAAGGTGCGTCATTTAGCAGGAGAGCCAATCAGACGTCAGCTGTTTAAATTTATGCCAGGGATTTTTGGCTTGTAAGACTTAAGTTGTGGTGGCAAAAGCCAGTGTTTTCAATCCCTAAAAAAACACTGTCCCAGTGAGACACGATGCCCTACACGCCGTCTGGGTTCTTTTGCGACCGGTTAATCCGGGAGAGAGAGAGAAGGGATGGCGAAGGCTCCCTGAGCAAACCTCTCCGTTTCAGCGACCAGGACTACAACCTCCTCAAGCAGGAGTATCTCCAGAAAAAGACCCTTTTTGAGGATGAAACCTTCCCTGCCACTGTGGACTCCCTTGGCTATAAAGAGCTGGGCCACAAGTCTAACAAAGTCAAGAACATCGTCTGGAAGCGTCCCAAGGTAGGAGGCAGAGGGCCTGTGTGGGTTCAAGTGGACTGGGACTGACGTTGTGGGTGGGATGTCAAAATGGCTTATGGGATGGATGGAATGACAACTAATTGGACTTCCTTAAAAATAGATTTATTTGCTTATACATACACACATTCATGGGAAATGATAATGCTCAGATGGCAAAATGGGTCAAGAACGGCCTCTGATGGAGTAAGAACCTAAAAGATATGATTGCAGAGGGCATGTTGGGAAAACTGGGGCTAGTTGTCACTGTTCTTCATGTGTTTAGAAGCCTGGTATAGACACCGTCATTAAAGTATTGGCTATAAAAAGCTATTTAGCAAATTCTCTGATTTGTCCATGCTAAAAAAATGCACTTCATTGAACATGCTTTGAACTCTTATGACTAGATGGCCCAACAGCAAGGATAGTTTTCTTACTATGTGGGGTCAGTTGTCACAATGCATATAGCATATTAAAGAAGGGTATTTAATTATGAAGCACAAAGCAATTCATGAAATGTACATATTAACATTAACATTTCAACCCATTGTTATACCAAGTATTCCTAAACATTTGTGTCATCTGAACCTCTTTGATCTAAACTTTACTTCAAGTACCCCCTGAGATTATAAGCTAATATTTCAGTTATTTAACAACACATGATGTTGGCATATGGTCAAATGACATGGAGGTAAACGAATAAGGTTTTTCATTTTTCATTTTGATTGTTTTTTTCCCTCTAAATTTTTACAATTTAATAATTATTAGCTTTTCATCAACTCATGAACCCCCCAGGAAACTCTGGTTTAGGCCAACAGATATTGTAGTAAATAAAATTACAAGTAAATTTCACTTGACAGTCAATGGTTACCCCTGAGATTAACAGGATTACCTACCAGAGATTAATAAAAAAATACTCATATCATGATAATTCTATGGAAAAGCTTGTTTTAATAAATTGTAAAAAAAGAAACGCATAATTGTGAGATTAAGTTTAAAATTAGAAATATATATCACATTGTTATATATAGTCACAATTGTGAGGAATAAAGTCACATTGTTCGATATACAGTTGCAATTGGGAGAAATAAAGTCACACTGAGAAAGTCACAGTTGTGAAAACTAAAGTCACATTGTGAGATAAAGTCGGAATTACAAGAATATTTTAGTCACATTGTGAGATATAAAGTCAGAATTATGAGAACTAAAGTCACATTGTGAGATATAAAGTCAGAATTATGAGAACTAAAGTCACATTGTGAGATATAAAGTTGCAATTCGAAATACTCACACTGTAATATAAAAAATAAAGAAGTTAATTTGTGAGATATAAAATCACAGATATAAGTCACACTGAGATATAAAGTCACAATTGTGAACACTAAAGTCACATAGTGAGAAATTAAGTCTAAATTGCAAGAAATAGTCATATTGTGAGATAGTCACAATGTGAGATATTAAGTCAGTTGCAAGGACTTAAGTCACATTGTGAGATATAAAGTCACAATTGAGAGAAATAGTCACATTGCAAAATAGAAAGCCACAAATGGGAGAAATAAAGTAAATTTGTGAGATATAAAATCGCAATTGTGAGAAATACTTATATTGTGAGTTATAAAATCGCCCTTGCAAGAAGCAAGGTCAAAATGTGAGATATAAATCTGCAATTACGAGAAATAGTCACATTGTAAGATTAATGTTGCAAAAGCAGGAAATAAAGTCACATAGTGCGATATAGTCACAATTACAAGTGAAAGATGTAGTCACAATTGCAAGAAAAGAGAGCATTTATGAACACTATTACTCTGAGGTGGAAACAGGCTTCCATACTTCGAGCTTAAAACCTTGTGACAACTAGTCTCTCCATCCATCTATTCATCCCAAACATCAGAGATTGATCATATCAGTCTTTGTATCTCTCAAACTACTGTATGTGTCAAATCTGAGTTACGATCAAACACTTTTCTGCATTTGTTCTGCAGGAGATATGTGAAAACCCAGAGTTCATTGTCGGAGACGCTAGCAGGACAGATATCTGCCAGGGAGACCTGGGTAAGATTAACACTTTAACACAATAATGTTACAGACTGTTTACCCTAAAATATTTGGAGAGTGTGTTTAGAGTCTAATTGCAGCAACGGGTACCTCTCTCTGGCCCCCATATACAGGCCAACAGTCCAGCAGGGACCCCTCCATTTTGTGTTTACTCTGTTGGAAGGGAATCCAACTAGCAGTGCTTCCTATTGTTGTGACCCCATATGGGCAATAAAAGAGCCCAAAGACACAAAGGTTGCTAATACATAGAGTACCAACCTGGCATGTTCCCCTGGACAATCTGAAAATGCTGAGATCAGCAGTGTAGGTTTTGCTGCAAATAGGTCTATATGTGCAGTATATAAAATGTTTTTGTGAAATATTATTTCTTGTATTATAGGAGACTGCTGGTTGCTTGCTGCCATTGCATGTCTGACTCTGAACGACAAGCTGCTATATCGTGTTATACCTCAAGAGCAGAGCTTCTCTGAAGGCTATGCTGGAATTTTCCATTTCCAGGTCGGTGTCTTTTCAGCAAAATAGCTTTTGAATTCATAGCTTCATTACGCCTGATTTCCGTGTCTCCCTCTGTCTGTTTTCCAACTCAGTTCTGGCGTTATGGTGACTGGGTGGATGTTGTTGTTGATGACCGCATTCCCACCTTCAACAACCAGCTGGTGTTCACCAAGTCCGCTGAAAGGAATGAATTCTGGAGTGCTCTTCTGGAAAAAGCTTATGCTAAGTAAGTATCAAGTGCTTGACATTTACATCTTTTGTTTTGGAGTTGGTCAGTCCTTGATATTTAAAAGCTGGAGCATCTTTTTATGGATGTGACATAGGACAATTTAAGGTATTATATTGTCCATACCCCCAATCCTAAATAAACTGTACAGTTAGAGGTCGCAAAGTAAATCGTTGTAGTATTTTTGTGTCAACCCTGTAATATATACATTTTTTGGGGGGGTTGAATGTTACAGGGTTGAAGGTCAGGGCAAAAATTACTAAGTCCACTAATGGCCGTTCAGACAGAACACATTTTTGCTGTTAAAAACGTGAGACGAAGGTCAGTGGAACGACGAAAATGCGTTTTATTAAAAGTTGAACTTCTTTTAACTTGAGTGCAGTGTTTTTAGAATGCCGTGTCATGCACGAAACTCTGCAAAAGACACGAGCGCAGCGGTTAAAGATGTCCGCATAGACCGTCTTTACATGGAAAAAAAATGGAAAAGTAGTGCAGTGGAATGGAAAACATTCTAAGTGATCGACCCCTTAATACGTAAATATACACTAGACTATGGAAGCCTGTTTCTATCACAGAATTTTGACTATTGTTTTCGTTTATATCTCAGAATTCAGAATTTTTTCAAATGGGGCATTTACACACTTTCTAGTGCAAGTCTTTGAAACCAACACTGTTATCGTCAACGAAAACGTGAATTTTTGAAAACAGTGACGTCATGTACATGCATATTATGTGTTCATTTTATATGTGCGTACTGTTTCTTTACAACGTGACATCGCCAACTACTGGTCTGGCATGAATAATACAGCATATTTAGTCTTTTTCGCAGATCTGTGTGAACGTGGATCGTTCAGAATTCTTAGTTTATATCTCTTATTTTTGTGAATAAAAGTCTATATCACTAAATGCATGTTTTATTCAATACATTTTTTGTTACATTCCATTTCAGATTCATATTTATACACAAATTAAATCACATATTGCATTCACAAATGGTGATAAATGATGACATGCAGACTGGATGATGTTCAGCTGTAAAACAACATTGGTAACACTTTATTTTGATGGTCCCTTTTGAACATTCTGTTGACTACAATATAAGTAACTTTGCAACTACATGTCAACTAACTCTCATTTGAGTATAAGTAGGACTGTCTGCTTAATATCTGCCAAGTCTTTATTGTGATGGTCCTCCAACAGACATTCTACTGACTATAAGTAAACTATAAATCATAAACTATATGTCAACTTTATCTACCCCTAACCCTACCAGTCTACTACTCTACTAACACTCTAATGATATCAGTGATGGGGACACATATACACACAAATGGCACAATTTCCTAAGAATGACCCTAACATTACCTTGCACGATCAGAACTGTTCTTTGTTTTTTTCTTTCTTTTTTGAGCTAATTAATTGTATCTAATGAAACTATACAGTAACTGAAGTACAGCAGGAATTCATTTTATCATTTGTGCACACAGCACCTGCTCTCTTAATGTAATTTATTTGTATTCCTGTTCAGACTTCATGGCTCCTATGAGGCTCTTAAGGGTGGAAACACTGCAGAGGGAATGGAAGACTTCACCGGTGGAGTGACTGAATTCTATGAGATGAAGGAGGCACCTAAACAGCTGTTCAAGATCATGAAGAAAGCTCTGGCGAGAGGCTCCCTCATGGGCTGCTCCATTGATGTGAGTCAAGCAGAAGACATTTTCAACTTTCTTTAGTGTGTAATGTTGCTATTTGGGCATGAAAAAGGTCTGCAAAGTTACAAAGTCATTCCAAATGGAGTTATTCTCTATCAGTAAGCCCTGAATCTGAACTCCCCGAAACGCCTCGATTGTAGTCATGAGATTTCTTCCTTGAAAAAAACACGTTACAATATCCCTCATTTAAATCATTTAAATAATAAATACCACGGTAATGAAAGGGGCGTGCCGTTTCTGAAACGCCCTGGAAGCGGTTGACCAACCACTCTGAACCAATCTGGTTCAATCGACCAATCAGAGCACATTTTGCTTTTCAGAAGGAGGGGTTTCATAGAGACAAAAACTAAACAGAGCGTTAATGACGGACTGGGAAGTGACGTGAGGTGCTACAACAATGTCAAATATGTGTTTTTAAAACATCAAACATTAAAACCTATTCTAGTAGCCCCCAAAAACAAAATCAAGACTTCATAAAAGGGCATAATATGGTGTTATGGATTTTCTATCCTCAAACCTAACTCTCTTAGATTTGGAACCCTAAGACCAACTTATACTAGTATAACTTATACGCTAGCACGTCTAAATACGTCTAAACATTTCCCAAATTATGTTATTTATACACACAGTCATGGGTTTTCTTCCAAGAGACACACATACATTGATCCAAAGGACAAAACGTCTTAGTACATTGTTTCAGAGTGTTAGCATGTCAAATAAGGTCAAATGTTAAAACATGGTCAGCCAAACATTCAGCCTAAAATTTCCACGACAATGGCCTTTTTACAACACTCTTGATAGTAAATATTTTTTTATAAAACCAATGGTAACTTTTGGTCCAAATTCTAGTATCCTACCATGAAGCAATTACATTTTTACCCACAGTCCCTGGTCCCAGCGCGCTTTGAAACTCGTACCACTACAGGTCTTGTGAAGGGACATGCCTACTCTGTTACCGCTGTAGAGGAGGTAAACATTCTCTTATTTTGTATTTCTTGTTTCTAACTGAACTCTGATAGCCTCTGATGATAATTGTGATATTTTGTGTCTGCAGTGTAAACAGTCCCAGCAGAAGGAGTCTAAAATATGTCTGGTGCGTCTGCGTAACCCCTGGGGTCAGGTAGAATGGAACGGACCTTGGAGCGATAAGTGAGTATCTGCTTATATCTGAATTTAGACTGGTTTAACCCTATAAAGCCTTTTACATCATATTTGATATACGAAGGCCTCTAACATGATCAAAACTTTGCTGAATAACTAGTTAAGTACACAATCTCCTACATGTTTTCTGTCGTCTGATTGATAGTTTATACTTTTATAGCAATTAATAGGCCTTTTAGTATCATTCTGAAAATGTCCACCGTCAGATCGTAATACATGTGTCTTTTTGCTGTGAAATCTTTACAGATATGTTTAAAGTAAATGTAAGAATAACTTTAATATTGTTAATATTTCAAGATGAACACTTACTGGATTGGCTTTACTTATGTCTACTTGATTATCCATACATAATTTTTTTGAAAAATCATGTAAAACGTAAGTATGAAATATGATACATGAGACTTTTGAGGAACGTTTATATGTACACCTCTGTACAAATATCATCTCACTAAGACATATTATTGGGAGATATAGACTGATATATATATATATATATATATATATGTGTGTGTGTGTATTTTATGTAAGTAGTCATCTATACTGTTAAAAAGATCTTATTGATTTACAAGCTATCATAATTTTATCTTCCTTTTAGCCCATATAATTATCAGCAACTGCACCAAATTGCATATTTTTGAAATATGATACTTAAAAATGAAATATGAAATATGATACTTTAAAAAAAGTATCAAAAATGAAATATGATGCTTAAAAAGCTTTTTTTTTAAATAAAAACTGTTCCACTTGAAAGATTTAATTTTTCTGACTTTCATTTAATTTTCCAGGCTTTACAGGGTTAAAAAAATGTATATTACTATACAACTATTACAATATTGTTTATTGTTTTCTGCAGTTCAAAAGAGTGGGAAACCATCTCTAAAGCTGAAAAAGAGAAACTCCAGCATCAGAATGCTGAAGATGGAGAATTCTGGTGAGTAAAAAAAATCAACAAGCAAACATATCCTCATAAAGAATTATGAGACTGATATAGACAGTGTTGTGGATGAGACCAGCTCATTCGAGTCTGAGTCCAGACCATGACCAAAAGAAGCTCCAAAGCTCCCAAGTCCATGACAAAACCAAGACCATGAAAATACGTCCATATATTTATTCACAAAGATAATTATTCACATTACTGTCGTCAACCCATAGGATGTCATTTGAGGATTTTAAGAAAAATTACACAAAAATAGAGATTTGCAACCTGACCCCTGATGCTCTGGAGGATGATAAGCTACACAAATGGACGGTGTCTGTTAATGAGGGACGCTGGATAAGAGGCTGCTCTGCTGGAGGATGCAGGAATTATCCAGGTGGGTGTGATTTTAATAAACTGAAAAAAAAAAGAAAAAAAAACGGGGTGCCCATGGGTCCTTAAAAAGTTTTGTTTTATCAAGTTTCAGGTCATAAAAAGTCAATTTAGGGACAAATCATGATATGACTTAATCTGATAATTAAATTTCAAAAGACTATGATGAAACTCTAGATGGCGCAGGCTGATAGGTCCTTAACTCAATTTGGTAGCGATTGCATCGTCATATACTGTACATAGCGCAGCTGATTGGTTGCCCAGTAGCAAGTCTCTGTACTTGCTCTGCAGCAGCAGCGTAGCAGACCTATTCCAGCTAGACCATATACATTAACATTGCCATATCCATTACCATGCCAATCATGACAGAAATACATAAGAGCTGCATGTTTTAGAGTCAAAACGTGGCACTGTTGCGCATTCTACAGGCTCTTGCTTTCAGAGCAGTTTGCACCGAATAGCCCACATTGATTGCTTTCATCTACTGGTGATGAATTTTGATAATGTTTACTTTATGGTGTTTATATCATACCATTTGGCGAGGACAGTTTTGATTGCATTTTCTTTTCAAATTACCTCTGTATAATGTAATAAATGTTAATAATTTTATAAAACTTGTTTTTGTCAATTTTTATTATTTGAACTGGGTCTCTAAAAAACAGTTCTTAAAAAGCTTTAGATATGGTTTTAAAACAACAACAATGTTATGATATTCATTTTTAATTTATTTTGTATAGTATCTTTCATACATAAAAAGGATCACAAAGTGCTTCACAGGTCAAAATATAAAAAACCGAAAAATAATGTCTTGCAAAAAAACAATATTTGCTTCAACGAAGTAAACATTAATATTATTTGTGTGGTTTCCTATAGACACATTCTGGACAAATCCACAATACCGTCTGCGTCTTCTGGAGGAAGATGATGACCCAGAGGATGATGAAGTAGCATGCACTTTTGTTGTTGCTCTAATGCAGAAAAACAGACGTAGAGAACGCAAGTTGGGTGCAAATCTCTTCACTATTGGATTTTCCATCTATGAGGTATCAATGCTACTATATTTAATCTCCAGAGAGAAAATCACTAAAATTATACAAAAGCATGCAAATAGTGATAAAGATCAGGTTGATGGTGAATCCAACACTCTTTTAACTCTCTCTATTTGCCCATAGGTGCCAAAGGAGGTATGAAAATGTGAAGATGCAATGTTTGGACCCAAGGCTTGTGTATATCATGCTCATGTTCATGCAGTTTCTTTGCTCTTTTAGAACTAGTGTTGTTTTATAGATGGAATATAAACATCTTTGTAATTGTTTCTGATCAAATTCCCTTTTTTTCTGCTGTTGTGTTTCTCTGTCTGTCAGATGCACGGAAACAAGCAGCACATGCAGAAGGAGTTCTTCACGTCTAACTCCTCTAAGGCCCGTTCCAGGGCGTACATTAACCTGCGAGAGGTGACCCAGCGTTTCCGCCTGAGTCCAGGGGAGTATGTCATCGTTCCCTCCACATACGAGCCCCACCTGGAAGGCGATTTCATCCTCCGTGTCTTCTCTGAAAGGAGAAATACCTCTGAGTGAGTAAGAGCAGAAGGGATGAGAGCGCTGGTGTTTTTTTTTTATTATATTATTGTACAATGATATCTGAGTAAATTTATCCTCAAAAAGCAAAAATAATAATTTTCTTAAGTATTTTTGTCAGAAAATATAGCAGAACATCCATAAACAGGATAAATAAATTGAATTAAATTAAATAAATAATATTTTTTTCTAATAGTTAATTTAATTAAAAGGAAATTAAATGTATATATATTAATATTTTTTGGTTCTTAAATAAATGTATTTTTTTTTTACTCAAAAAATAAAAATGCTGGTTAAGGGCCTGTTCACACAGAATCCGTTTTTCACTCCATTGTGCAGCTTTATTATTGTTTTTTATATAAATGTGCTAGACGGGCAATTTTTTTACAATTTGCGCTGCCGTCTCGTGTCTTTTACAGCATTGCACACATGACACGTTTTAGAAATGCTTCTCTCAGAGAAACACATTTTGGGTTTTTTTCAATTTCACTGCCCTGTGTCTCACATTTTTAAAGACAAAAACTCATTTGTTTTGAATGGCCCCTAAGAAAATTACTTTTGTATTATGAGAAAAAAATTACGGAGCTCCGCACATGACATGAGAGGGGGAAAATAGATTGTAAGCACGAATGAAAAGTTTCCACCCATGACTTAATTCGTTCCTATGTTGTACTAATTAAATGTTGTACTGACTAGCTGAAGATATTACTGTAGCTCTAACCTTTAATAGACAAAATATTTCCTTGAAAATAAATTCTAGCACAGCGCTACAACAGCCATAATGAAATGACCCTTCACAATAGATAATGCTTTACAATCAACTCTGTTAGAGCTACATATGGCAATTTATCTGTTCAATAAAATACTTTACTCACCTGTTGAGTAATAAAAAATGGCATCTACATCCCTCAGTTCTTGCCATCCCTAAAAGCCAAGTTAATGTTGATTCTTGTTTTATTACGAGCTCTGTCACAATCTCTTTTTGCCAGCAGAATCTCCTCTGTTCTGTTTTTTTTGAACAGGTGATTCTCCAGTGTTTTGTGATTTAGCTGCTCCATGTCAACCTTTCTCACTCGTGACAACAACTAACGTCTGCCACTCCCATATCATACACGCGTCAAAGTAGCCAGAGCAACTTTTCTCTATTTACGGATATGATGAGACGCGCACAGGCGAGTTACTTATGTACGTAATTTCCAGCGAAAACCACCCATCTAAAATATAGACTCTTATAATAAGGATTACCATAATGAATAAAAACAAGTTTTGGAAGAAGGATTGATGATCTATTGACTCATTATTTAAATTAAGTTAAAAAAAAAGAAAAAAAAGAAGTTACATTGTGTACCTTTAAATTATGGCAATGATTAATTTAGTTAACAAATTTTGGGAATTAATTAACACCACATTATCTATATTTTTCTTTGTCATGTATGGGGCTCCGTAAAAATTAACTCTCTAACGCTGATATGACATCCTAATTTTTCTGGTGTTTTTGTAGTTGTTTGTAAGTACTCTGTTACGTTAAATTGTGTCATAGGTGAAGAACTTCTGAAACATTTGGCTGGAAAGCAGCTGTTACAGAAGTTAATACTCATGTCAGTGGGTGCAAAAGGGCGCTTTAAATCCTCACCAAAATATATTTTATGTACAAAGACTATGGTGTTGTAGGAATAGGATCATGGTTATATTATCACAAGAATACCAAGGTAGTTTCATAGTAGTTCACTTTACAGAAGGGATGGGAAACGATTGGGAAAACCACAAGGACAAAAATTTAATGACAATTTGATTTGTAGAGCTGGAAGAAATCGGCCCCAGTTCGAGGCTGTAATGGAATCTTTTTTAGGACAAGCAACAGCACATTTTGGGACCCTCCGGTAAACATTCCCTTTCAGTTCTGACCCAGTCTTGCCGCACAATTAAACTTCAGCTACAAGGAAGACATGGATACACGAAGGATTGATGAAGGTCTCCAAGGAATACTGATGATGCTGCAGGTCAAGCCCTGATTACAAGGATTCACAGTATTTTAATAAGGATCATGTTATGATTTCCAGTTCCCTTTCAAGGGAACTTGAGCTGCGTCGAGACGCTGTGGGAACGCCCCTGCATGATTGCGTCCTCAAGCACGTATATAATCAATCCACTGGTGTGACGAGACGTCATAGACCAGGAAACTTTAAGGCACACCTGAAAACAGACCGCGTTAGCTTCTGTGCCTTCAGCAAACGCTCTCTGTATACTGTCTCTGTCTATTTGGTGTTGTCTGTCATTGCAAGCACAATATTTACACAGTTATATATATATATATTTACATAAATGGCGAGCAAGCAAGATTTTTAAGCGGTGTGTTGTTCCCTGCCCTCGTTTCATCAGTCACTAGGCCAGTCACTCACTGTGAAACAGTTTTAGAGACTGTTAGGTCTCATGGCAGCTGCATCCAATGTATTAACTTTTGGCCTCCTGTACATGAGACCCCTGCAGTGGTGGCTCAGGACCAAGGGGTTTTCTCCGAGGGGAAATCCGTTTCGCATGATCAAGGTCACGCGGTGATGCCTACGTGCCTTAGTCATGTGGGACAATCCTTGGTTCCTCGCCCAAGGCCCAGTGCTGGGGGCTTCTTGTCGTCGCGTAACGCTGACGACGGATGCTTCCCTCACAGGTTGGGGGGTGATCATGAGTGGTCGCTCGGCAAAAAGTCTATGGCAGGACCATCTTCTTTCTTGGCACATAAATCGGTTAGAAATTATGGCGGTGTTTCGAGCTCTCAAGCACTTCCTGCCAGACCTGAGAGGTCACCATGTGCTTGTCCGCAACCATCAGGGGGTCTGAGGTCACGTCACCTATGCAAACTGGCTCATCAGATCCTCCTTTGGGCCCAAGGAAAATTACTGTTTCTCAGGGCAGTATATATTCCGGTGCATCTAAATCAGGGAGCGGATATCCTGTCGAGGCAGGGACTGAGGCCCGGGGAATGGAGACTTCACCCCGAGGTGGTAAAGCTCCTTTGGGAGAATTTCGGTCAAGCTCAAGCCGACTTTTTCGCATCATCAGATACAACGCATGTGTCCCATGTGATTCTCTCTCACGCACCCAGCTCCTCTCGGGCTGAATGCAATGGTTCAGGTGTGGCCAAGGCTACACCTGTACGCTTTTCCTCCAATATCCATGCTTCCGGGAGTTCTGGAGAGGATATGGAGATTCAAATCAGGAGAGACCTATTGTCCCAAGCAGGGGGCCCAATTTATCACCCTCGCCCGGAGTTGTGGAAACTGTGGGCTTGGCCCCTGAGGGGGCCCAGCTCATAGAATCAGGTCTCTCGGCCGAGGTCGTGGAGACCATACACCAATCCAGAGCTCCCTCCACGAAAAGACTATGCACTGAAATGGAAACAGTTCTCTGCTTGGTGCGGAGAACGGCAACTGGATCCTGTTAACTGCCCTGTTGTTACAGTACTTAATTATCTGGAAGAACGTTTCCATGCGGGGTTATCTCCTTCCAACTTAAAGGTCTATGTGGCAGCTATATCTGCTTACTACACTCCTCTGGGTGGTGCAACATTGGGGAAAGATCCTCTTATTTCTCGTTTTCTTCGTGGCACCCTGAGGCTGAGGCCTGCACTGCGCTCTAGAGCACCGGCTTGGGATTTGGCCGTTGTATTGGAAGGGCTAGCTTTTGCTCCCTTCGAGCTCATTGAAGAGGTTTCAGAAAAGTCCCTTAAGGTGATGATACACAGGGCAACTTTTTGGGCAATGTTGCTGGGCAATGTTGCCGTCAACGGGCAACAAGATGAGACACAGGGCCCACGACCGATCTAAATTATCCAGATATAAATGTATTGCCCGTTTTCAATGGGAAAGTGCCAAAGCAACAATAGTTCGGCAAGATTGCCCAGCAACATTGCTCTAAAAGTTGCCCTGTGTATCATCACCTTTACACTAAAAACTTTATTTCTTCTTGCTATTTCTTCTATCAAGAGAATTGGAGATTTGCAAGCATTGTCGGTTACTCCTTCGTGTCTATAATTTGCACCTGGTATGGTGTAAGCCTTTCTTCACCCTAGGCCGGGTTATATTCCTAAGGTCCCTACTAATGTTGCGTAATCTTGCTTATGAAGCGGCTGGTCAGCCTTCACCTTTGGCTGTCCGGGCCCACTCTACAAGGAGCATGGCTGCCTCAAAAGCTTTATTATTGAGGGTTTACCTTTATGACATCTGTGATGCGGCAGGCTGTTCCTCACCGCATACATTTGTTAGATATTACGACTTGGTTCTAGGCTCCACTCCAGGCTCTAGGGTGCTTGCTTCTTAGTGTGCGCAATAACTTCACACAGAACAGGCATTTGCTATTATGGCGTCGTGGGTATAGTGTTCCCACAGCGTCTCGACGCAGCTCGAGTTCCCTTCAAAGGGAACGTGTAAGGTTACGTATGTAACCCTGGTTCCCTGAAGAGGGAACAAGACGCTGCATCGCCCTGCCATACTCCCTGCATGCCTGTGATCGACTTGCTTCGGTCTATCAGAAGCTAACGCGGTCTGTTTTCAGGTGTGCTTTATAGTTCCCTGGTCTATGACATCTCCCGCCTATGACGTCTCGTCACACCATTGGACTGATTATACACGTGCCACACAACGCAATCACGCAGGGGCGTTCTCACAGCGTCTCGACGCAGCGTCTCATTCCCTCTTCAGGGAACCTGGGTTACATTTCTTGCTGTGGCCTAAATGTAAATTAATCACTGGCCCAGTGATAATCTCTGTAACCATTAATCAAACTTTTCAAAAAAATTTAAACATGCAGAGAATTAACTTTAACATTTATCATTAATAATATTTTAAGGTAATCATACTTTAAAGATTATTTACACATGGTAAGTATGAGTAACTCCTAATCAGTTATCACAGAAAAAAGGCACATATGTTTATATGGCTGATGTATCCAGAGAAAAGTGCTCATTTGACTATTTATCAAAAGGGGCTCTAAAGACAGAAAAGACATACTATATGTAAAAAACAAAGACTCCCCAAAAGATCTTTGATGTCTTGTGCTGTCTACTTTGGTGACAATTGTTTGTTGGTTTCTTCTCAGGGAGATAGAGAACAGGATTGAAGCTGATCATCCAGTGGTAAGTTCTTGATCATTTAGAATTGATTGAAATCTAAGTTCAGCTAAGACGTTACTTTATTTCAAATAGTACCAAACCACTAACCATAAGTACTGGACTCGGCTGAAAGTATTGAAGGCAGATATTACAACAACTGTTGTAAAAATGGATAAAATCCCATAGACTGAACTAGAAGGAGAGACTTGACATCTAGAGACAAGACATTCTTAAGAATGAAGTTCTTAACTGATATTTTCTTATTTTCTCACTTACAAATAAAGTCATGAATATTTTGTATTCCCAAAAACATTCTTAACTTTTTTCTTTCTTAAAAATCTTGCATTACGCATTACGATTATGCATTACGTCGAATCGAAATTCTACAAAAACGCATCTTCGGCAAGATCTGCCATATGAGATAACACCAAAGCTTGTCATATTGTTCTTAAATTCTTCAAATATTTCAGAACTTCTTAAGAAGAATTGCACATCTAAAAAAAAAAAATTCTAAAAAAAAATCTCCTTTTTTGAAATAAGTTTTGTGGATCTTGCCTCAGAATATCAGACTCGGGATGGACTCTTTCAACCAACTTACTATTCTCTTACAACAACCCAGAACACTTTAGCAACTATAAAGTAACACAATAAATAACACTCAGAAATATGTTGCAACCCATTGGCTATGGGATTTCACACATGCAAGCATTTTAAATAAATATAAATATTTCAAAGGTTTCAGTTTATTCTCTTATTTCTCAATATTTTATTTGACTGTTATTTTGAAGGGCGGCCCGTTCACACCAATGACACTAAGTATAACGATAATGCTACAGATATACTTTTAAAAATCATTATAAATGTAAAAGAACAGTAGAGTCCACACCACAATGTGTCGTTAACTACGATAGTGTTTTTCTTTCTAACTGATGAATAATAAAAACATTGACAAACAATCAGAATCCACACAACTGCAGCGCTTACTTATAATAAACAGAATGATATCATCCGTTGGTGGATGCTAATATAAATATATTTATAGTAATCATTCTTGGTGTGAACAGCCATGTAGAGGCGTAAAATCTTTTTTTCTCTAAAAGTGATCAGATTCTTTAGCTACTCACACAATGAAAATGAGAGAATAAATTCAGTTCTGACATGTGTAATTTACAACTACCATGTCTGATCAGCCGGCTCCAGCTTCAACTGGGGAAGAGAGTGAGGAGGACCAGCAGTTCCTGTCCATTTTCCAGCAGATCGCGGGGGACGTGAGTACTGGGGAGCCACTGAGCGCTGGGGGGAGTGTGAGTATGGAGGTGGGGTGGGACTGGTAATTGGCCATGCCAGTGGTAACAATGGTAATTACAATATCAATACTGTTTTACTTTGCCGTAATAAACACCACACCTGGCTTTCTGTTTATTCTTATATCTTGCAGCAAATGGAGATCTCAGCCAATGAACTCAAAGATGTATTGAACAAGGTGGTGTCTAAATGTACGTATCTTTGAATACTTGTTTCTGGGTTATGGTTTTTCTGTATACTGTCTTCAAGAAACTATCTGCTATTTACAGACAAAGACATACACGCTGAGTGCTTCAGTCGAGAGAACTGTAGAAGCATGATCGCCCTCATGGATGTATCCTTTGTATGTCTGTTTTCAAGGTGCTATCAAGCTAAAATATTGGGTCACACTTTACATTAGGGTCCAATTCTCTCTGTTAACTACGACTTTTGCGTAAATAAACTCCTAATTACTGCTTATTAATAGTTAGTAAGGTTGTTAAGTTTAGGAATTGGGTAGGATTAAGGGATGTAGAATATAGTCATGCAGAATAAAGCATTAATATGTGCTTTATAAGTACTAATAAACAGCAACTATGCTAGTAATGCCCATGCTAATGAGCAACTAGTTAAAAGTGAGAATTGGACACTAAACTAACTTGTTACCAAATATTGTTATGTTAGCATAATCCTGGTAATGGTAAATCCATTCTGAGGTATTTATCCAAAACCGTTTTCTCATGTCAGTTGTTTCCACCAGTTAATAGGGTTACAGCCTTGTTATGGGTGTAATTTTTCATTATTATTGATAAACGAAAGCATAGCATACTACATTTCAGCATTGTAACATTAAGTTAGGAATTTATATTCTTAAAAATTTAATTGACTTTTCAATTTAGGCATAATCACTAGTTTCGTTGTTAGAATTACATTAGATTTTATTTTAAAGCAGAGGTGATAGTGTAGAATATTGCAAGCAAAGTTTTCTTAATCCTTATCGCACAGATGGATGGAACAGGAAGACTTAATCTACAAGAGTTTAGACACTTGTGGAACAAAATCAAACAGTGGCAGGTTTGTCCTCATTCTTTCCCCATACACACACTCACCGGCCACTTTATTAGATACACCTGTTCAACTGCTCATTTATGCCTATATATCTAATAAGCCAATCACATGGCAGCAACTCAATGCATTTAGGCATGTAGAAATGGTCAAGATGATCCGCTGAAGTTCAAACTGAGCATCAGAATGGGGAAGAAAGGGGATTTAAGTGAGTTTGAATGTGGCATGGTTGTTGGTGCCAGACGAGCTGATCTGAGTATTTCAGAAACTGATCATCTACTGGGATTTTCACACGTAACCATCTCTAGGGTTTACAGAGAATGATCAGAAAAAGAGGAAATATCCAGTGAACGGCAGTTCTGTGGGTGAAAATGTCTTGTTGATGAGGAGAATAATCAAACTGGTTCAGCTGATAGAAAGGCAACAGTAACTCAAATAAACACTCGCTACAACTGAGTTCTGCAGAAGAGCATCTCTGAACACACAACAATCTCTGAACACACAACACGTCCAGCCTTGAAGCAGAAGAGCAACAGCAGCAGAAGACACACTCCTGTCAGATAAGAACGGGAAACTGAGGCTACAATTTACACAAGCTCACCAAAATTGAACAATAGAAGGTTGGAAAAACATTGCCTGGTCTGATGAATCTTGATTTCTGCAGCAACAGTCAGATGATAGGGTCAGAATTTGGGGTAAACAACTTGAAAGCATGGATGCATCCTGCCTTGTATCAATGGTTCAGGCTGGTGCTGCTGTAATGGTGTAAGGGATATTTTCTTGCCACATTTTGGGCCAATTGAGCATCGTTTAAACGCCACGTCGATGAGTTCACTAAACTCAAACGGCCTCCACAGTCACCAGATCTCAATCCAATAGAGCATCTTTGGGATGTGGAGGAACGGGAGATTCGCATCATGGATGTACAGCCGACAAATCTGCAGCAACTGTGTGATTCTCTCATGTCAATATGGACCAAAATCTGAGGAATGTTTCCAGCACCTTGTTGAATCTGTGCCATGAAGAATTAAGGCAGTTCTGAAGGCAAAAGGGGTCCAACCCGGTACTAGCATGGTGTACCTAATAAAGTGGCGGGTGAGTGTATAAAAAAGATTGCTGCACACATTGACTTTATGAATTTTGTCTGCAGGGAATCTTTAAGCGCTATGACTTTGATCATATTGGCACTATCAGCAGCTATGAGATGAGAAACGCCATCAATGATGCAGGTTAGAAGGTTTTCATGCATTTCTACTGTAAGTGGATCTGTTCTCCTGTTGAAGAACATTTGTCTAGACTAACACTAATGGACTTGTCACTGTACAGTCACGTGTCTTGTTTGCCACTCAGGGTTCCGTCTGAATAACCAGCTGTATGACATCGTCACCATGCGCTACGCCAATGATAACATGAACGTCGACTTTGACAGTTTTGTCAGCTGTCTTGTACGACTGGAGGGGATGTTCAGTAAGTTGCTAAATTAACTGCAAACACTTTTTCACTGGCAAATAATAGTATACAGTGTCTATCAGGAAGTGGTGCCATTTAAGCTGGTCACTTTTTATGTTAAACAATACCTTACATTATTTTGCTTCTACAATATATTAAGTTTGTCATAGTAAGTTTGGAATTATATACAGTTTCATCATGCCTTGTAATAAATCATGCTTTAAAAACAACAAAACATTCATTTTGTCAACCCTGTTATATTCAAAATGCCTTGGGACTGAAAGTCAGTACTAAATTATAGCCTTAGCAGACAAATATCATCAAAACATTTCCTGCAGTCGATATTCTCGTGGCTTATGCCAAGAACTATATTTCTTTTCTGTAAAAAATTGCTGACTGATCACTGACTTTTCCCTCCCTCATTGCAGAGTTGAACTATTAAGCTTGATGAGGCCAATTTAAGTTTAAACAATGAAATAATAATAAAAGTCTCTATTAAATATGATGTCAGAAAGACTATTAAAAAAAGTCCCACAACTTTCATTTGTGGCCACATTTTATAAATTCGTTCTCTCGTTTTAGTTCAGTAGTCACCACACTGTACTAATTAATTCCCTGGTTATTTGTTCAGTCGTGGCCATGATTAAATGAGAGAATGGATTAGTGCAATGCAGTTATGGTAGAATTTTTCAAAAAATTTTAAGCACTAAAAGTTATCTAAATAAGATGACTAAGTTCAATATCCAGTCAAAACATCAGCAAGTCATCATGGGGAACAACACATACAGAGCCGCTTCCTGAAAATGATCCAACAACACAATACGTACCATTTTAGTTCAAATATTTCATTTAAACTTGAGTACCAATTGATTTGGGGCTTGTGTATGCTAATAATCATGTCTGAAGTGAACCCGTTCTCTTTGTAGGAGCGTTCCAGGCCTTTGATCGAGGTGGAGACGGCACCATCAGACTTAATGTACTGGAGGTGAGTGATCTTAAGATATAATGTAATAATGTGTAGCATCACGTCCGAGTCCTAAGCTTCAAACGCCAAAAGCCTTCCTTTTAAAGCTGTAGGTTAGCCGATTACAAAATGTTAAACCGCTATTTCAATTTCTCCAGTGGCTCCAGCTAACCATGTATGCCTAGACCTACGGATCCAGGCGAGCCCAGACTCGGCAAGGACCAGAACTACCAGCTTTTACCTCAACACTCAATGTGCCAGACTACTGTTACCTCTTTCTCTGTACCTCAGCCCACATCGAACACCAGCTCGAGAAACTTTACACGATTACTTCAATTTTATTAGGGATTGCCATGATGGGTGAAATGAGTAATAGTGTTATAGACCGATGTCACTTTTTTAGTCAGACTGCGGAGGAAACGTTTTCAGGGGCGTTGCAACGCACACGCGACTTTTGAGGCACGTCATTGTGTCATTTTTAGCATGATTTCTGGTTTTCTGTTGTAATTGGTTCCTCAAAGTCATCATTCTTTTCACATGAACATTCAGTTTGTCTACACTGGTGCTACAGACAGCATTTCTCTTTTACCTCAACTAGCCTCAAAATATGCTAATTTACATGACGCTGAGATTTCTCTTTGCCATATGCTGATGGATATATATAACGGATTATCTAACATAAAACTATAACACTAGATTCAGAAAAGAACAAGTAGATTCGGATATATAATTCATGACAATTTGGGGTATTGAATAGAGAGTACTTTACGAATGAAATTCAATTTGACCATTCACACTGAAACACAATCCAGATTTGATTCCGATTTCACACCACATTTGGATGTGGTTCGGATCATGTTTGTAAACATTGGGTTTCATGTGAGTTCAGACTACAAAAACAAACTTTTTGGATACGCCAACAAAGTCTCATCTTGATGTTTGCATTAGTATTATTTTTTTCTCTTCTAATATTCTTCTTGCTCTGTGGCATCTGACACAAACTCTTTTCATAATACTACCACTCTCTCTAATTCAGCTTTCTTAAAGAATGTCTTTCCATATTTACCCAGATGTACTCTTACATGCATCCCAGCTTCTCATTTTGTTCCCATTTGGTAATATCAAAATCCATTAAAAAAACAAAGCAGGGCCATGTAGATGGTCCTTTTTGTTTCAAATCCTGGTTGTTTTGTTTTGTAAGTTAACATAATGGGAAACGAAAAACATGATGAACCAGGCGAGGAAACAATCATTGGAGGAGAATCGTCAGGGAACATCTCAGAACTCATGATGGATGGCAGGATTCAAGGTCTTTCTTTCATAACTGTGGGCAAAGACATGGGGCGATCCTAGGCTTTTTTTGTTTTTGTGCTTGACCCCCATTTAACCTTTTGTTCAAATGAGTGTACTGACTTCACCCGTTTAACAAAATAAATAATTGTGTAGTTCTTGGTTGAAGTGCTTTCCCAGGAAAAACAAGAATGATGTTTTTTAAAGCCTAATTATTTAAACATAAGCATAAAGTGCCAATTACAAAATAAAATTGGGATTTTTTTTGTTCTTTTTCAACAAAGGGTCTGTTAAAGCTTTATATTATACAATCTATTTATTTCTACATTTATTTTATTTCTGGTTAGCAATGTTTTTCAGCAGCCCTGTTACAAAATTTGGGTTCTCAGCATTTAATACCCTGTAATGTGATATTACATTCTAGAAATAATTAAACATATATTCCATAAATTCAAGAACATATTAGTTTGACAATTTTTCACACAATAACAGGGTTGCATGGTTGAGCTTGATGAATGAAGTCACCAGTAAAATATGTAATGTTTAAAACTATTTTAGTTTTGTTAGATAATAGTTTATCTATAGTTCTCTAATAAGCCTTTATTACTTTGCAGTTTATTCATTATCCCCCGGTTTAGTCCCAGACTAAAATGCATGTTTGAGCTGTTTTAACTGAAAGCAAATTACACTGACACATCTTAAAATATATCAGTGCCATTGTTTTGTCTCAAGTCTTGTTTTTCTAAGGCATGTTTATAAAAGCTACTTATATGTCCCAATTAAACAGGCCTAATCCTGGCTTAATCTAAGCCCTGTTTGTGAAACCAGGCTGAAAAAGTGTTAAGTGAAGTACTATACGGAAATATAACCTCTATGGAAGCAAATTTCCCCTTAGGATAAAAGAAACCGACACAATAGCACAGTTATGTATATATATTTTTTTAATTCTGTTTGTTTCAATAGCGTGTGTACAAAATGTCTATAAAGATTTAATAGTATTTGAGATCAACAAGTGTGAGAAACTTGGGAATACCGGGTAAGAGGTTGGCTGCAATCTCTCCTCAGCAACACACAACTATAGCAAAGAGCTGAGATGCATTTCAAAGGCTATGACTGGGTGGAAAAACAAGCTGTATCTTCATCCATTATGATAAAACCTAAGAAAAAAGACAAACCCTAGAGTGACCATATAATAGTTAAACCCAACACTTCAGGGGCAGGCAGAGGAGAGTTCAAATCTGTTTCAACTGACAGGAGATAGTGCTGTTACTCCATATAAAATCTAACATCAGAAACCATGTTAGGATATTAAGATGTCAATAAATGTTTGCAGTTACACTAAATTTGGTTTTGGTTTGTAATAGGGCTGAGGATTACAGGAAGTGAAGTAATACGCACCCAACTGCACAAAACCACCTCCCATGTTTATCGCCCCTACAACTTTCATTCTCACACAGAAAAATAAAAGGTACTTTCCAGTGCGAGGACCCTCCTGTACTTTCATAAAACTACAAATCTCATCTCCACAATTGCCACAAAATACTGTGAAGAAAATATATAACAAACTTCTTCGCTACAGAAAAATATGGAAAACAAAATTGTCTTCTTGTACACACTGTCATAAAACACATTTGTGTGTTCTCAAAGGCTTACGCACACCAACTGTCACGTTTCAGACTCTGTCAACAGCACAGCAAACACATTTCAACTGCAGTCTCGAGTCACAGCACACCTGAATCCGTCAACTTTGCTTCACTGATGAGCAACCACAGAGAAACCCCCAAAAAAAGATGGAAAAAAAGAGGAAACCACTCAAACAACTATATTTAAATGATCAATTAAAAGAAAGAAAATCAAATAAAATCACCAGAAACAACTGAAATAGTTTTTATTTGGAAACCAGATTGAGATGTAAAAGTGTCCCCGTTGTCAAGTATGTACCGCCGTGACAACACAAACAAACAGAGCGATGCAACTTGAGAAAGATGTGTCCTTCATTAAAAAACCCCCACTAAAATCTAGTTGCTTGACAAGTCTCACGCTTTCTTAAATCACTCCACATCATAACGTCTCTAAACTCAGACCGCACACACACACGACAGTGAGCTACACGTGTTTGCTGAGGGAGCTGCCGCACCTCTGTTGCTGTCCCGGTACCCAACCGTTTCCCACAGTTTCTTTGTGTTCATTTGGTCAGTAAATCTTAGATCTGATGATGACAGACATGTAGAAGCATCTGACACAGAAATCAATCCCTTCCAGGAGGGAGAGTATCAGAGCAATGCCACGTCAGTATAAAAGAACTGAGCATATTTCACACTTCAGATAGAAGTGAAAGAGAAGAGACAAATCAAAAAGACTTAAGAGATACCAATCACATCCACTTAGAGAAGGGCACATTTTCTTCTTTTTGTTTGAATTAACAGTAACACTTGTACGTCTTTTCTGTTTACTACATAATACGAATTTCTGAGCGATTAAAATCATCCATTTTAATTTAAACTGTGGCATCAGCATCATCTAAGTGGCAGTTGTTGGTATCTGATGGGTCATATAAAAAAGGGCTCCTCTGGTGAGGGCTGAATGAGACATTCCCAATATGGGAAAAGAGGAGACTATGTCTGTGATATTCCATTGGCCCCTCATGGCTCCATTTTACTGTCGTCCTCAGCATGTTTCTGCATGTGACAATGCACTGCCTACAAAGACAAGAGGCACGTCAATGTTTTATCATTTTTTCATAAAATTTCTTGTTTTTCTCTATATATAACTACACACATTGTACCGTTCATAAGCTTGGGGTTGATCAGAAATACAGTAAAAATAGTAACATTGTGAAATATTATTATAAATTTAAGAATGAATGCACAGATCTAATATACTGTTACACATCCGATTTGCTCACAACTGTTTACATTTGCATATGAAATTTTCATATGGCCATTAAGCCGTGACTCAAATTTATAAGAATTTGAACCAAGCAAATTTACTTCTCACAAATGTTTAACACACACACGTTAAAAAATAAAACCCTACAAGTCAACATGCACATAAATTGTAAGAATATCAATTCAACAGTATGTGTATGTATGTATGTATATATATATATATATATATATATATATATATATATATATATATACACACACACACACACACACTGTTGAATTAATATTCTTACAATTATATATATTTAAGTGATATACAGCGCGCCAATTGAAGAGTGTGCGCTGCGGGCACAGTATAACAATCATTTGAACCATTTTTTTAATCATAAAACCATGATAAATAAAATAATACAGAATTTTTGTTGCATTATGGTATTGAAAATTGGGAGGAAAATGTGGTTAACTGTCATGAAAATAAATTGTACTCTGTCATTCTTTTGTAATATTTTCCAGTTGTAGCCAATTATATTTCTGATGCAGCGGGTTGAAGAATTTATGGAAAATGACAGCAGAGGGTTAAACGGCATTTTGTTGGTGGTACATGAATGGCAGCTTACAGAAAGTCGTTACAGGTGTGGTACATGCAGCAAAATTGATAAATTACCCTTTGCGGTACAACTTCAGAATTTTCATGTGTGAAAGTGAACATTAATGCCTGCATTAAAGGAGAACTCCGGCGCAAAATGAACCTTTGATCTAATAAAACATTGGTACCTAGTCAAGCGTTCTCTGAGATTTGTTTTCATGATAATCGAATGTAAAGAGTTTTATCTCTAAAAACTGTTTAGCGTATAACGCTAGTAATGGGGGCATCTATTAAGTAAAAAGAAATCGCTAGTTTATACCACTAACAAGGCTCAAAATAGCCCCACACGAACACAGTAACATAATGAGGGTCCCTACATGCAAAACGAAGCATTGAGAACTTTGTAAGTGTACAGACCGTTTAATAAGAAGATATTTTATGAAGACAGTCCACTTCGTGTATACAGACAGGAGCCATCTTTGGAAAACAGTCTCGACTAATCAAACCACGAACGCCATTCATACAGTTCAGAAGTTCACTGAACTTCATACAATTCAGCTCACTTAGCACGTCGTTCGTGGTTTGATTAGTCGAGACTGTTTTCCAAAGATGGCTCCTGTCTGTATACACGAAGTGGACTGTCTTTATCTTCTTATTAAACGGTCTGTACACTTACAAAGTTCTCAATGCTTCGTTTTGCATGTAGGGACCCTCATCATGTTACTGTGTTCGTGTGGGGCTATTTTGAGTCTTGTTAGTGGTATTAACTAGCGATTTCTTTTTACTTATTAAATGCCCCGCTTAATAGCGTTATACGCTAAACAGTTTTAGAGATAAAACTCTTTAAATTCGATTATCATGAAAACAAATCTCAGAGAACGGTTGACTAGGTACCAATGTTTTATTAGACCAAAGGTTCATTTTGCGCCGGAGTTCTCCTTTAAGAGTGTCGGAAAGCTGCCGTACCTGCTTGGAGCCGTTGCGTGTGGTGAAGTATGTGTCGCAGCTCCTCCAGCGGCATTTGAATGTTTGCTGTGCTGGGCTGGTGTGGTCGTTCAGCAGGTGCTGCTGCAGGTGCTCCATCACGCCAAAGATTAGGGTACAACCGTACCACTGTAAAGAGTCATGCAACAGATATTAACTGGCATCAGGAATGGCTTCCAGTCACATTATAAGTCATGAGCTCAGTTTCTTACCCAGCAGCGGTAGTTCTGAATCAGGTTCAATTTAACAGCTCTCACGCTCCCATCATAGCAGCCTGTGTAGATCTGCAACGGACAAATCATCACCGCCTTTTTAAAAAAAAATGTTTACTTAAGCAATCAATGCTTGTAAATCTGTATGAAAAGAAAATTGTGGGACCTGCTATTGGATCCCAATAGGGTGTTAAGATGTGCTCACCATGCTCTTGTGGATGACCATACACATCACCATGTCTGAATGGCCACCATATACTTGAAGTCTGTCATGAGACTGGAACCACCAGAGATTTGGTCAATATCATAAAAAGAGTTCATAACAAGCACACAACAATATAATTCCAATACAATCCACAAAGAGTGATATTCACAACACCTCTAAAGAAAATGGAATATTTTGTTTACATTGATTTCATGACAATTAAGCACTTTTCTTTCCCCAAATTTGCACTACTGTGATGCAAAAAACATTTTGTTCACATTTTCATCATCTTATGGCGCTTTTTCACTGCTGGTACGGCTCGGCTCGGTTCGGCTCGGTACGGTTCAACTCGGCGCGGAACGGTTCGGCTCGCTTCGCTTTTCCACTGCGTGGTACGACTCGACTCGGTACGGCACGGTTCGGTTCGCTTTAGCTCGGTTGCTTTTCCACCGCAGTTAGTACCTCTTCAAAGTGGGTGGGACTGATCGTTAGTTTGTCCCTACACTGTTGTAGGTCCGGTGATAGCCGTGTGCGGCTAAGAGCTGAGCTACTTCTTGGAACACTTTTTCATTCCGTTTTGCCCCATCCAGCTCTCGCTGGATCCGCTCCTCGGCAACCAACGAGAGGAACGTCTGCACCTCGTCCACTGACCACGATTCAGACATTTCTTTTTAAAGTTTAAAAAACAGATGCTACCGCGTTGGCTGTTGTCTACTGGTTATTTAAATCTAGCGGGTTTAGTGTCCAATGACGCTGGTAGTAACGATTCTGTCTGACCAATCAGTGATCTGCAGTGTTTTTACGTCACATTTTAGTACCGGTACGGTACGCTTGGAACCTCAACAGACCAGGTACCATTTAAAGTGAGCCGAAGCGAGCCGTACCGTACCGGACCATGCAGTGGAAAAGCACCACAAGTGAGCCGTACCGAACCGAACCGTACCGTACTATGCAGTGGAAAAGCGCCAAAGCGTGCCGTACCGAACCGAACCGTACCGTACTATGCAGTGGAAAAGCGCCAATAATGTGAAAAATACATTAAAACTGTAAAGTTTTCATACATCGTAGTAGTATTTGTAATGATTTTAGTTAAAAAAATACTGTTCAACGGATGCCAGTGTGGTTTTAGTATTATTTATATAAAGTCAATTGTATTTATTATTATTTTTAGCTTTTATTTTTGTATTTTCAGTTTTCAGTTTTCATTTATTTTCATGTTTTAATAATGTTTGTTATTTTTATAATATTTATTTTAATATTTATATTTAGCTATATTTTTATTTCAGTTAACTCTTTATTTTACAGTGCTTAATTTATCTTAAAACAATGTAAAAAATATCTTAATGGTGCTAAACATATTTTTTTTATGAATAAAACTAAAAGAAATTAAATTCTTAAATTGAAATTTCTTTAAAATATCTTGTTTAAAAAAAAAAAGAAGTAGTTATCAGCAAATGTGTCACATATACCTGGAGCTCGTATACACGGACTAGTTTGTCCAGGCATGCGGTGACCATCACCTTTCCCAATATGGCCACCACGGTGACGGCATGACTATGACCCTTATAGATCCTCACCAGTTCTCCTGTCTGGAGATCCAGAGACAGGGAAGCAATTTAGAATAAACAAGACACTTAGTTCCTGCATCTCAATGGGAAAGGAGAAACACCGTGCATGAGGTACTCACATGTATATTATGTGCATGTACAGACTGGTCACTCGAGCCACTGAACACCAAATCGTTCACCACCTGCAGAGAAGCAACAAATAAATACTTAGGGTGTGATACTTGGTACACATCTTTTGATAGAATCCTTTATTCTCCCTCATGTTGTTCTTTTTTACTTTATTTCTTCAAAAAATGAAAATTCTGTCATCATTTACTCACCCTCATGTTGAAAAAAGTCACCATGAAATCTAAATTGACAAATCTTATTTTTTATGGAATATATTTTCTCTTCTCTGACTATGATGTGTTAACTGGCGTGCAATAGCAAACCACAACCATCCAATCAACTCCCGATGGACAAAACCAAGTCCTACCCTACATTTCTTCATGTTCGAGAAGCTGTTTCACTCGGATATAAGTCACAATAGGAAAGAAAAGACTTGACAATTTCCATTTTATGAACTCTGTGTGGTGCTCAGTCCGAACCACTTTCAACAGCGTTTCTCAGAAATCGCGTACTGCACCTTTAAGCATATTCATTAGAAAAAGTGTGATTCAGGCACAAACCTTCATGCAGAGCACAGTTTTGCTGTGGCCCTCCAGCGTACGCAGCAATAGCCCATTCTTAGCATCTCTAACGCTGATGGTGGCGTCATAGGAACCAACTAGCAGGATACGCCGAGCCCCTTCCTGAGCCGTCGCCAGGCAGCTTACGGCCCGCGGGCCATGGCACTCAAACATATCCAGCTGCTTATTGTTCTACAGGAGATGAGAGAAATGTTGTTAATTACCCCACAGCCAAAGAACAGAGGACACAAAACTTACTTTAACCCAAACTCTTTTGATTTCTGATTCATTAAACACTTCATACCCTAAGACTGAAGGTGATCACAGAGCCATTGGCCAGACCGGCATAGAGAATTTTCCAACGATTATGAAGACAGAGCACTCGATCTGGGAGAGACAGCTGTTCCTTACATTCTGTTGTCTGAGGGAAAAAATAGACAAATGCTTGTCATATTTACAATATTATACGTTTAAAGACTAAAATACAACTTAGGAATAGAAGGACTTATAAGACTTAAGACATTAAGGCTTTTAAGACACTGATGTCTAGGATGTTCATTAATAACTACTTAAATTAAAATTTTAACCATTGATTTAACATTAAATAAAATAAAACATTTTTTACTTTTATCAGCCTTTATGCTCTTTTGTAGTTTCGTAATATATCACTTTCAATGTTTGGAACTTTGGTGTTCCACGGATAAAATAAAGTCATTTGAGTTTGGAACCAATAATTGGTTAAATAAATCCTTTAAATATCAGTTGGTTATTTACACAGAGCAGAGCTATTGTATTGTTTCATGGTACTTTTTTGGAGCTTGACAGTGTGAATAACTCTATACTTTGCTGAATGAAGATGTGCAGACTGTGTATCTGAAAAATGTCCACTTCATTTTTCAGTAGAAGAAAAAAATTTAAGTTAGTTGGCAGATACAGTTTATTGTGTAACCAAAATATCAATAATACCCCCCACCCAAAAAAAAAGGATAATGAGGGAATTTTAATAAAAACGGGACTCTTATTTTGAAACTCTGAAACTGCTAGCCTGTAGAGCCGTAGAACCTGGTTTTTACTTTGAAACATGCAACGGTTTGAGGTTTAATAATCACATTTGGTCGTATTGTGATTCCTTTTCCATCCCCAAATTTAAGACCTCTTAAAATGACAATTAAGACTTTTTTATACCATTTAAAATATTTAAGACTTTATATTACCTTAAATTTGATCAAACTGAATTCAAGACTTTTTAAAGACCCGCAGAAACCCTGTAAAAAGCAGTGTGGGTCAAAGCCAAGCACCTTTAGGTTGTAACAGCGGATGGTCTGGTCACTTGATCCCGAGTACAGGCGTTGTTGCAGGCCTCCTCCACATGACACCAACAGGCAATTCACTTTACTGCTGTGACCTTCATACACAGCCACACACTTCCGGCTCTGTAACAATTAAGAGACTTCTTAAAGAAACCTGCTTTGTGAGCTACATTCAAAAGAACATAATTTTCTTGTTTAAATGCTTTTACTGAACTACAAATTTCAGCCAATTTTGTACTAAGTTTACCCACTCAACTGAAAAAAAAAGAAGTGCACAATGATCTTACTATCAAGTTGAAAGCACGTATAGTGCGGTCCCCTGAGCAAGTATACAGCAGTCCGTTATGGATCTGCATTCCATTAACGGCCTCTTGATGGCCTTCAAACTCTCCTTCAGTTGGCACATCCTCCTCCCCTGGATCTGATATATCTGCTAACACACACACACACACAAGTTATTGAGTGAAACATTAACACTATGAACACCACATTTTCTGAAGAGAGACACGATCGCTTTATACGCTGAACAGATTGAATTTAGGCTTTTATTCACATATACACATTCATTAACTCACACATTAGTTGTGGTAAACGGAAGCTTCCGCAAGAACCAATGAGGTTCATTCTCGTGGGTTAGGTAGCAAGAGGTTTGTTCTTGCGCATCAAGTAGGTTCGGTTGAGCTTCTGTTTATGTTCGCTGATCAATGTTTATATGTGAATTAAAAGCCTACATTAAATCTGTTCAGCGTATAAAGTGATCGTGAATATTCAGAAAATTTGTACAAAACCGCTCAATTCATATTGAATAGTTTTACGATCTCTTTAAAAGGGGTCATCAGATGCCCATTTCCCACAAGTTGGTATGATTCTTTAGGGTCTTCATGTAAAGTTTGTAAAATACTTTGGTTAAAATTCCTCAAAAGTTGTGTAAAACAACACCCTTTTACCTCCTCAAAAACAGCTCTGTTCACAGCGACCAGTTTCTGTGCATGTCTCTTTAAATGATAATGAGCAACTGCTCACCCCACCCCTCTCTTCCATGGGATAATTGAGACTGAGATAATATGAAAGTGCCTGTATGTTTAATTTCAGTCATTTAATGGAGTTCACAAGAAACCAGCACCACTGCTCTCATTCTGTATATGAGTTGGCACAATTCTCAGGGTTGTCATACCAGAAATCACTCTCAGAGGCACAGGTTAAGTATAAAACTAACAGGCACTAAGAATACCTTGCCCTTAAAAAGTAATTTGGGGACTTGATGAACTACATTTGTATGCTAATTTGGTTGCTCTGCTACGACTGCAATGAGCAAGGAACTAGATGAATTGATATGTACTGACAGCTCCCACAAGTAAAAAATAAATTAAAAAAAATTACATATTTAGTAAGTGAATGGCACATAATATGTTGTTGAGGCAGCAGTTAAATTGTATGAATGATACGTTACAGCTTCCATGTATGTTTTTGAATATATCACATACCTGAATGCAACTTGGAGGTCAACACTGTTGAGGCTGATTTTATTACACTGTAAAAATAAAAACAAGATTTTTAATACTGCAAGACTGAGAAACATCAATGAAAGCAGACAGAAAGATTCAAGGTGCCAGATGGCCATGCAGTGAAAATGATTTTAAACGAGCTGTATCTTACGGTGCATATTATTTTTCCCCTCAATTATGTCGTAATAACGAGATATGTCGTTTTAACCGGCAAAAGTAGGCTAATGATAATAAATGTGTCTGAAAAAATAACAAAGCATTTTAATTGTTTATTAATAAACTAGTGTTTTCTAAATCAGTGTAGGCTGCTAACATATCTCCATACATCTCTGCTGTAAAGTAGATGCACCTTTAGAGAGAAATGCACCTTTCATACGGACATGATTACATAATCAGAGGGTACCGTATTTTCTTTCGATTAGATTTTTTCAACTTTATCCCCGTCTTAGCAGCCTATTAAGCATTTTCTTTATAATAAGGGTTTTCTATGGGAGGAAAACGCTTAAGGTGTAATTAATAGCAATGCATTCGTATTCTGGGCTCATCTGCTATTCTGTAGGCTACATATGCTTTATTAATAAGGTACAGAATTTCATCTTTTAACATGAATGTCCACAACTATTTGCTTCAGCTTTTTGAACGTAGAAGTATGATAAAGGTATGATAGGCTATATACATTTTATGTAGATAAAGGCATATTTTGTACGACTACACGTCCTTATAAGGCCTAGAAAAATTGTCGTTTTGAAGACATAACATCTCGTTATTACGAGAGATGTCGTTAAAACGACATAACATCTCGTTATTATGACATAATTGAGTGAAAAATATAATATGTATGTGGCAGACAGCAATGTGCCACCGTAGTATCTGTATGTCTGTGTACTCTTGCCTATCACACACCATTGTGTTCAACCATGTTCAAAGCCCATACATATGCTTGTCGAATAATATCTTTCAGAATGTTTACTAACCTTAAGAGATTAAAAACACAACACATCCAAGTCCACTTTCTAATCACAGTTTGTGGAACAGGGAACTAGAATAATATAGTATTTTTTATTATTATTATTAATACATTGAATATTACCGGTATACATAATTTTAAGTGTATTCACAATGCGTATGCTACCTGCACTGCAGACTTTAAAGTAAATTGTAGTTGTACAGAGAATCTCAGTTTGGTTAACTTCGGAAGTATTCATTTAGAAGTCAAGTTTCAAAAGACCCTTTTTTACTAGTGATGTTCGATTCTTGAAGGAACTTTAGGTCCGGGCTGATGACATAGGCGAAGTAGCACGCTTCTTGCACAGCACCATAAGCCCACCTTATGTCCATAAGCATGTCCAGAGGGGCTATTGAACCAAAGAAGCATTTTGAAATGAATGAATCAAACCTACAGGCAAAGTTGAAAGTCAGCTTTTCGGTCATGTCCAACTCAACCGCATGAGCCGGTACTTTTTGATTTGTTCATTTCAAAACGGTTCCTCCATCATCAACCCAGAACTAAAGTTTGATTCAGTTCTGGGGACCAGCTCGGCCGATTACAGGCTTAAAATAAATATTCATTCAAGAATCGAACATCAGTACTTTTTACTTCACAAGCTATAAGACAAGGGGTGTCCTCTCCTGCTCCTGGAGGATCATTATCCGGCAGAGTTTAGCACCAATCCTAGTATGCTGACCATCACATGAACAAACAGGAAAACAGGTCTCATTGCATCCGCTTGTTAGAGAAAGTGTAAACGGCAGTATGAACTGACGGCGATATCTATGGACTTTTAAGAAATCAGCTAACCTAGATAGTTATTTTTATTGTTCCCGTTTTATTTAAATTAAAATATCTAAATGTTAGTAAGAAGAACCTAAAATAAAAAACTTTTAAATATCAATCTGTATATGTGAAGGCCATCGGCTGTGCTCATTTTTGCTTCCTCCTTTGAAGGTATCTTGAGTAAAACGGCTCTATATTTAATGAAGCACATAGAAAAGACCTGAACCGGAAGTGATGCAACTTGTTTCACAGAATACGGAAATCTGTTGCACATAACCCAATTAAACACACCTGAAACAACTAATCAAGGCATTACCCTTCCAGGAGCAGGATGGGACACCCATGCTATAAGATAATAAGAATGTTTAGAAAATCACAGTCCAAAACATGAGACTTACCTTTCACAAGCCTTGACTGAACTGCTAGTATCAATTTCACTAGTGGAGGTGACCTCGTTGCAGGCAAGATTTTGGGGGTCTGTGACGGCACGGTCTGTTGAGTGTGCAGTGGCCGACTCCTTGGCCGACTCCTTGGCCGACTCCTTGGCCGACTCCTTGGCCGACTCCTTGGCCGACTCCTTGGCCGACTCCTTGGCCGACTCCTTGGCCGACTCCTTGGCCTTCTTTTCAGGCATCTCATCTGGGTCTGAAGAATCTAGATTGACAAAATCAGTGGGCACAGGTGGGGGAAGCTCCACCATTTCCAGTTCAGATGAATCAGAGTGAGCTTCCTTCATTGGTGGTGTTGCTAGCTTGGTTCCCTGTGGTTGTGCCTTTGAAGCTTCGGTCACCACCATCTCCTCATTTTCATTTTTCTCTTCTGGTGTGGGGGGTGAGGCATAGGTTCTGCTGGATCGCCGATTAGGTCGGGACTTGCGGGCAGGTCGAGCAGCGGGCTGCTCTGCATCAAGCTCTGATTCACTGATTTCAGGCTGCTCATTCCCCTTTGCTTTCTTAAGACACTTTTTCTTCTTCAGTTTTCGAACACGCTTAACTGGATCAGTTTCTATGTGGTTTGAGGGAGACAGCGGCTTGGGAGAGAGTTGGGAAGGAGGGTTGGCTAACCCCTCTAGAGAATTTTGATGAATTTTTTTGTTGGGTGATGGCTCTATTCTGTGATCTGAGGGAGCTGCCGTTAAATCCATGCTTGTGGCGTCATGTGAAGACTCCAGGTTGTACTTGAAGGCAGTATCTGTTTCAAATTGAAGAATTAATATTCAGTTCAGTTTAATTAATTCAATAATTCAGTTACGTTAGTAATAACTACCTCTGAGCTGCAATTTAATGAATGGAACCTACCTGTTTGACAAGCTGCAAACACTGTTTGGACAGGTGTGGTATTTTGAGGTCCTGGGAAGGGGGATTGATAAGGTTATGCTCAGAAATGGGGTTACATTGAGCGATGGGCTCTTGTTTAATGGTAACAGGCAGTGAGGAGGTTGAAGAGGATTGGAACCTACCTGTTTGACAAGCTGCAAACACTGTTTGGACAGGTGTTGTATTTTGAGGTCCTGGGAAGGGGGATTTGATAAGGTTATGCTCAGGAATGGGGTTACATTGAGCGATGGGCTCTTGTTTGATGGTAACAGGCAGTGAGGAGGTTGAAGAGGATGATTGGGCAGCTGTTGCTGGGAGAACAGCGCTGGGGGTGATCTGAGTAACCTGGGTTAATGAAGAGCTTAAGATCTCACTGTTCCTCTCTTTTTCTTTTGGCTCAAATTCACCTGAAAGCGTAATAGAAATAGAATTCTTGATCTCTATTTTATTTTATTATAAATAACAAATAAGCTGTTCACAAAACTCAAGGTGCTTACTGTCATAAGCTAATACATACTGCAAACTGGCAATCAACCACCTTTACAGGCCATTTGTACAGTATGATCACCATTAAAGCTATTCTAATTTTCCTGATAACTTTTAGCTTAGATTTGTAAAGCTAGTACATATGATTAAATGACTCTTCCATTTAGATTTTTGTACCTTGCATTCCTTGAAGAATTTCAATCCGCTGGGTTCTCAAAGAGTTCATCTCACCGATTACCTGTAAAATATCCGTAGTTATTAAAATATTGCAAAATAAAGTGATAGCCCAGTGAGAACTGAAAAGTATTTTTCTGTAAATGTGATCTAGTAAAAAAGTTATTACCTGTTGTTTCACCATAAGCAGACGCTGTACTTCCAAATAGGCAGCTTGCAGGGCAGCACGTGCCTGAATAAGACTGTTATCCACTGCCTGAAGCGAGCTATTAAGCTCCTCCTCACGTAGAGATACAGCCAGCAACTGATCCACTTGAGAGCGCTCTGCAAAACACAATACATACCCATATTATAATAGCCAACTAAATTGGCTTTCGAGGTAAAGTTAATTTCAAACCCTGATTACATAGATTTATTACCTTTCTTAGACTTAATTTTTTGCCTCTTGTTTTTCCTATCTTCGTTAGGAATCTCTGGAGACAAAACATCCTAGAGGAGAGATCACCAATTAAATAATGGCAAGACCTAGATTAAATTTAGGTTATTCTTGCATTACTTTCTATGTGGAACATTTCAAATCAGACACTTATAATGCTCCATTTCAATTAGGATGTTGCCTTGGAAGGCAGCTACGTAATATGGTAGACATCAGGGGTGCTCACTAGATTTGGATCAGAGCTGTATTTCCACAGTAGAAAGTAGAAAGCTTACCCCAGGAGCTCTGCGTTTCTTCCCAGCTCCTTGCATGTCAATCTGTTCAATCTCTGATGTACAACCACTGTCTCCTTCAGCATCCTCTGGGCCGTTAGAAGGCCCTTTCGAACCTTGAATCTCCAGATGACCTTTGAACTGCAGCTCTTCTCTCATTGGTTGCTGTGAGGGGCCACAAGGAGGAGAGTCTTTCATTGGGTCTACACCATTAGGAAGGGAGCTGGTACCAGCAGGGCCATCTTTGACCACATTGCTTTCAGACAAGCTACGCTTGCGGGAAGGCACTGGACTGAGGTCAAACAGAGAATCCCAATGAAAGCCCTCAGAAAGAGGTACATCATTTTCATCCATTTGGTTCAGACCCTCGGGTTCACAGGGCACCATTTCTATACCAAATCTGAAAAGATTCAGAAAGAATATGGAATTAGGGTATTAAGGAAGTAACAATACATTAAAGTACTGACTGAGTTTCAGTCTACAACCATTTAATTAAAGTAAACCAAAATTTAAGAAATACTCATGCAGTACCTTGGTAAGCCCTTGCCTTGCTTCTTCCGGTTGACTTCCTGGTAGACCTGGTCCCAGTTGACATTCCGCCTGGAGCCAGAGGTGCTAATGAGCTGCCGCAAGGTGGGTTTAAGTCCTAAATCCTTCTCAGGCTCATTCTTTCGCGTGCCACTTACATTCCTAATTCGTCTGGCAATATTCAAGTTGGGTTCATGGGATGCTGCTTTGCCTTTGGTTCCCATATGGCGGTTCAAATCCCTTTGGAGACAAGCAGGCAAGGCAAGCTTACTTAAAGAGGGCACGGAGCCACCTGCTGTTTGTTGGGATGGGCTGCTGTGGGACTCCTCACCAACTGAGTATAAATCTTCATCTAGTATGTCCATGACTTGATCTTGTACTTGTAGGTGAGGATTTTCTTCCATTTCAACACACTCCTCCTCATCGTCATGGTCCATAGTGGAGGTACTAACATGCAAGGACTGCAGAGATGGCCTAGTGTCATTGCGCACATTGGCAATCTGTACTGATTTGTCTGTGCTGGTTAAATGCTCTTGTTCATTGCTAATACATCGTACAAAACCCAGCCTTTCTTGACTCTTGTTCTTGCTCAGTTTTTTCGTACTCTCATGTAATTCTTGATTCTTGTTTAGTTCTAAATTCTCAACTTGCTTATTAACCTGAGGCACAGTTTTTGATCCTTTGAAGCTGTTCTCTGGGCAACATACATCAAAAGAGTTATTTCTGTTAAGCAATGTCTCTTTAGCTTTTCGCAGCATCTCTGAAAGCAGACTGTCTTGGTCTGCATTGAAAGTGGCATGTTGTGGGAATTCAGAACTTGAATGGGAATGCTTAGAACCTTTAGCGCTGACAGAGTCTTGACTTCCTGCAAGCTTGCTGGGCATCTCTGTTCTTCTAGTGGTGGAGGTGGAGGGGTAGGCGAAACCATCTATATTAGTACTGCCAATGTTCTTGAAGGCACTCTTCTGCTCCCTGCACACACTCTCTTCACAGTTAGGTTCTGTGGGATTATCCTGCCAATTTATTCGGTCTGCCTTGGATTTCCGCACTATGTCCTGAGTGCCCTCGTTGAAACTTTGTGCCATAACGTTTTCAGGAGATTCCACATTAGACTTATCTAAAGTTTGCTGAAGGTTAGCCTGAAATGAAGCATCCCCAAGTTTAGCTGGTGGATAAGGTGCCCATCGATGTGCCTTCTCTGACTTCTGACCCTTACCTTTGTTGGGATCGTGATCACCACCAGACTCTTCTACACTCTGTTCACCCTTTGTCTGATTCTCAGAGCAGTTGGGTGTTTTTTGATGCTCTCTTGCAGATGATTTATAGTGCCTAGGTGGTGGCATATATTGTCCCTGCCAAGGGGCATTAAACTGATTGTTGTTCCAGGGAAATTGCTTTCTCAGATGTGGAGGGCAGACTCCATAGCCACCTTGTCTACCACTCCAGAAGTTTCCTTGGTTGTGCAAACTCCCTCCCTGACGACCAACAGAGCCCCACTTCTGCAAGTCAGGTGGTCCTTCAGCATGCCATGTGGCACACCTACCCTGTCGGTTAGGGTTAAACCATTTGTTGCGGTCAGGGGATGGAAATCTTAAATTCTGCCAATTAGAGCCCCTGCCCCTTTTGGGCATCTGAGGAAAGTTAGGATAGGGTCGGTCCCAAGGGCCACACTGCTGGTACATCAAAGGCCTTGCCCCCTGCCACTGAGTCCGAAGCTCCTGCCACCTCCTTGAGTTGTCCCGCTCTTCTTTAGCATGCATTGCAGAAGCCTCTTCTTTCCTAATAGAGTTCAATACAGAATGGTCACATAATGATTTAACTGATAAAATTGTATTGACACACCACAATGAGGATAGGTGAATAGCATGGTGATAGTTTAAACAACAATGCAAATAAATAAAAATATGGGAAGAAACACAAAACATAAATGCCATGGAAGAAATGTGTATGATTTTTCCTATCTTAATATCAGACTTATATTATTGGATCAAACTTATTATATTGTATTAATACTATCGTATTAAAAGGAATCTTTTTGAATTATTAAGGAATTACAGCTATTTACTGGCTGTCTTAATTTGCAGTGATCTTGACTGAATTTTCTTGGAATGCAAAGGATTTCTGTCATTTATGAATGTCTAACACTCTCATTTAAACAGCATGGCGCATAAAAATAGTTGATGAGGTCAGACTATTTAAAGACATACTGCCCATACTGTTTAAGGGTTGAGCTGGAAGGGTATAGTGTGGTATGCATCCAAGAGTTTGAGAGCGCAAGTGTTGCAGTCACGGCTGTTTTAGGCCTCACATGACACCAGACTCTAGTGTCAGAACTGTTTGCAGAATAGTTTAATATAGAACTGCATGTGTTGTGGTTACAAACAGACAATTAAAACACCAAGGAAAGACACTCCAATAAGAAAGATTTCAACTTAAAGATTTCAACTTAACGATTTAACTTAAAAGTACACTACCATCTAATAAATACATAACTGATAAATATATATCTTTAAATATCATAAATAAAGACTGGCAGGTCTGCAACCACCATCACTGCCATACAATTCAGGGTTTTTAGCAGGGCCATAGCAAGACTCACCTGATCATATCCTTGCGTTTCTCGATGAGCTGCACAATGTCCTTGTCAAAGTAGTCTTCATCTTGGTCTTCGTTTGAGGGCTGGTGCTTCTGATCCTCAATGCACTGTTTATGTGAAGGGCTGGAGATGTGACTGGCATAGTCGGTCAGGCTCACCTCAGTTACGCCGCAGACCCGGCACTCGTGTCCACAGTCCCTGGGGACAGAGATGCACAAAGGCTGCTCAATGCTTCCCTCAGGCATGGCTGATACTTTTGAGAGTGGCTGTCTAATCAGTTAGGATCCTTTTAAGAGATCAGGAGGCAAACTGACTTTTCAATATAAAATCCAACTAGTTACTAAAAAAGAACAAAAAAAATGCAATCTTCCTGATCTTGTGGTACATCTCCAAGGGCTTCACAACTGGTTTAGAGTAAACAGGCAAGAACAGAATGCAATAGGAGACATTGAGCTCAGAGGGGTGACCACCCGCTCAGCACCAGCTGAGCCTAGCACGCTGTCATGATGGAGTCTGCTGTGCTCTGAGAAGAGGGTTGGGAGAGCGGTTCGATTTTGGTGTGTGAAATCGCATCCCCCCACCCTCTGGCTCCACCTTCCACTGCTCTTTAAGGCTGCACCAAGGCCAGGACTCTTCAGCAAGCTGTAATGCGACCTGCTTACAGTTGCCGGCTTGAGAACCCCTCCCTCCATAGTTTCTCTCTTTAACTGCCAAACTCGTGAGCTGATAGATGCTTGCTGTTGGCAGTTGGTTTATCCCTGAAAAATGGTGTCATGGCAGCTTGCCATTTTCCAGTCAGCAGCCTGCAAAGTTCTTTCTAATTCGAAAATATACGTGTTTTGCATGGCTTGCGAATGAGTACTATGATTTTGATTATGATTAGAATTATATGTGATTATTGTTCTGCAGTTCATTACCATTTGTTCAAATTAATTATTGATTACCGCTCTTAATTATTGCTCTGATTAAAGCACAAAACAAGTTAAACTAATCTCATAAACATTATTACCAAAATGCAATTAGCTCAAATATGTCGAACCTCTAAAGGCCATGATGTTTGTGTGTTTTTCACCTTGGATTTCAATACTCTCCCCATTTAAGAATGCAATTCTCACTTTTCACATTCCAGAGATCTACATAATTGTCACGAGGCAGTTGTCATTTGTCGGCCTTACCAGTTGTTCCCAACGTCCCTATATATACTCCTGGGTTATGGCAGCTGCCTCGGCTTATCTATCCACTGACCAAAAGAGACACGTGCCTTTCAATACACATGCTTTGACCATAAGTGTATTCAGGGTTTCCACACCTTTTCATCAAAGAATTTTCCAAAATATTTCCCATGACTTTCACAGCTGTTTGTGATTGCTACGGAGCCCCTAGGGACGTGGTGGTGAAAAAAATTTGGGATGGGAGAATTATTATTTTTTTTAAATCTTTTCGTTTCCTCGCAAAACTTTTGCGTTCCCCCGAGAAACTTTGCATTCCCTCGCAAAGAAATTTGCATTCCCTAGCTAAACGTTGTTAAAACACAAATGACACTTAGGTTTTTAAAAATCACAGTAACGTAGACAACGAGCTACAACCCAAATTTCCTCAAAACGAGCTTTATAATATAAATTGATCGCTATGAGCAGGAGGGTGACAGACAAGTCCGAAGGGACCATCTGCAAAGTGCAATATAACCCAAAAAAAGTTACTATAAAATAGTCATTACACACTGTAGTGTCACCAAATTCAATTTACACACTAATGGTCTCCCACAGGTCATACTACAACACTTAGTTTATAAAATGCACATTTTATATTATGAAAAATATTCAATAACTTCACTGTAACACACCAAATTCAGTTCACACATCACTGCTCTAATGCTGGCTATACAACACTTAGTTTGGAGAGTAATAGCACATAAAAAATAAGTAGGCCTATTCTTTACACAAATGATATTGGCACGCAGCTAACATAATAGTTACAACCATAGCTTTTGCATTAGCCTATATTTTCTTACTAAATTTTATGGCATTACACTATAACAGTGTGAAGCTATTGAATATTTTTTTCTAAAAATGGTGAAGTTATTGATTTTGTTTTATAATAAATAATCATAAAAAATATGCTTTTTTTTAATCAAACCAAGTTTTGTAGTATAACCAACAGGAGAGCAGTAATGTGTGGACTGAATTTGGTGACAGTACAGTGAGTCACAGTGAAGCTATTGAATATGTTTCATAATATAAAATGTGCAGGGTTTTGGGTTTTGCACTCCGCCTGCTTATAAAGCTAGTTTTTAAGGAAAATTGTGTTGATGCTCGTTGTGTAGGTTACTGTGATTGTAAATAGGTGTCATTTGTGTTTTAACAACATTTAGCTCACGAATATTGATCCGGGAAGTTCGAATATGTGAATATATTGCCAACTTCACTGAACTCCTTGAGTTAATAAGCACTGACCGCCTTTCTTTATCTTTGAGTCCACGTTCAAACACTATGAAACGTTCTATTAACGTACAGAGCTCTGAAACACTGCTAGCGGACAATAAACAGGGAGTGTCTGTCCGAGCTCACAACAGAATTTGCGTGGGAACACAAATACCTTTGCGGGGAACGCAAAAGTTGAGTGGGAAAATTTGATTTTTTTAAAAATAATTTCCACGTCCCTTTAGGGGCTCCGTAGATTGCTGCATAAGCATTTAAAATATATATATATATATATATTGTAACAAAATTTTGGGGTGAATTTCCAAATTTTTAAATAGCAGATTAAGCATTATAGCATTAGCATTATAATTAGTGTACAAACATCTCAGATGAGGCTACAACACCCTGAGATTTAAAGGTAGCTCAGTTCTATGAACTTGACAGTATAACTGTAATGTTGATAGTGTAGAGAAGGGTTTCCCAAACAGGGGCTCATGAGGGAGTTTGTGAGTTGATGAAAAGCTAATAACTAATGGAATCATAAAAAAAAAAAATGTAAACACTTACTTAGAAAAGATTAAATATTGTTTCGCTGCCTGTCAAGTGAGCATTAACCGTCATTACAGAACCATGAACGTGCAAATGTGTTGTTATATTATTGAAATATTAACTTAAAATATTTATCTGAAGTAGAGCCTGATGCAAGTCAAGGGGTTCTGGTTGACAAAAAGGTGGATTACATGATTCTGTGCAACATTTGTGTGTATCATGACCTCTTACCGGCCTTTCAGATTCTCCAGCTCCCTGTGGTGCAGCATACTCCTCATGTGCTCTTCCATCTCCTAAAAACAAAGACAGACACCACTGAAATATAGCATTATGGTATTGAACAATATTTCAATACATATAGGCATACATTTGGTGAAACAAACTTTTTCATGTTACACAGATCATTTTTAACTTGCATTTTATTCTTATAATGTTTTGCCTTGCACAGGTTATAGATCTCACAACAGAACAGTGCATGTGCATAAGTCAGATAGGAGCCAACATGAACGTGTAAATTACAGTTTGCAGAGGTGGACGGTAACAAAGTACATTTACTTGAGTACACTTTTTGAGTATCTGTACTTTACTTGAGTATTATTTTTTATGGAAACGTCACTACATTTGAAACAAATATCGTACTTTTTATTCCACTACATTTCTGTAATGGTCCTTGAGTAGAAAGTAGTCACGTTAGTCAGGGGATGATTTTGGTTGCATTTTGGTTGGAAATGAAAGTCGGGTTGATGTCAGAACATCAACCTGATTTTAATTTTCATCGTTGGGTTTGGTCTTTTAAATGCAAATTTTGTCATTGTTTTGGAGCATACTAGCTTATAGATAGCAGTAAGGGCTAACATATTCATACTAAAAGCCAAAAAACTTTAAATAGGGCACTATTTTAGGGAACAGCCATTTGGCTGTCTGAAACCATTGTGGACGTTATTGAGAGCACTTATTCAATCTAACATTCAATCCCATACTGGAACTGCGTTCTAGAAATACATTTGATATTGATATGAGGGTAGGCAGGCATAAATTCAGAGGCATAAGGTACTGTTAGTATTAAATACAACAATGCATTGGCATTTACTTTTTACTTTCGATACTTGATAATAACGAGTACTTCTGTAGTTTTACTTAAGTAAAAATCGGTCTTTACAACTTTTACTTGTAATGGAGTAATATTTGACCAGTAGTGTCTGTACTTTCACTCAAGTAAGGAAGTTGTGTACTTTGTCCATCTCTGACAGTTTAACCACTAAGACTTTTCAAATTGTCACATTATATCAGAACTGGGAGAAGGTTTGTGTTTAAAAAGCCAGGTTTACCTGTTTGGAGCTGTAGACCGTTTCACAAAGAATGCATTTCTGTTCTTTAACCATGTTGAAAGATGTTATTGTATCTTAGACCACCACAAATAAACAGGGTTCTGCATAAAGAGACAGATAAAACAATCAGAACACGCAGCATACATGATGAGTGCAAAATCAAGAAAATCATATGCTAAAAATGTCTTATTTCATACATACACACATACACTCTCTCTCTTAAATAGTTAAACATTTCCTGTCAAAACACAGACATCAAATCAAAATATATTTGAGATAACAAAAAAAAAATTGGATTTACAAAGGGAATATAAATCTTTAAAAATTGAAATATTGATCATATATTAAAGTGATAACACTTTATTTCAAGGTTGAATACACGATACATGTACTAGTAATAATTACAAGTAACGAACCCTAAACCAAACCCTACCCTTAACCCAAATGTAATTAATAACTACTACTAAGAACTTATTTGTGTAATTACACAGTAACAATGTCACCATAAAATAAAGTGTAACTATGGACATTTATGGTCCATAAAATATTGGATATAACTAGATAGATAGATAGATAGATAGATAGATAGATAGATAGATAGATAGATAGATAGATAGATAGATAGATAGATAGATAGATAGATAGATAGAGATAGATAGATAAGACAGACACAAATCTGAATATGTACCAGCGAAGGCATTCAGACTCAGCCATGCACATAACTCAAAGATGACTTGAGCTTTATTATTTATTTCACTGCAGAGGCTCGTATGAAAAGGCTTTGCCAATTCCTACATTAGACTGTGTGGTATCAGTAATGCAAAAGGTTGGACAAACTCCATAAGGACGGAAAGAAGGTCAGTGTGTCTGGCTCCATGCAGGTGCCAGGAGACACAAACCAGCAGAAACAGCAGTCGGTCAGGGGACTAAATGCAGTATGCTGAGAGTGCAGCACACAAGCCAACCGCGACACCACAGAAGGGTCATGTCTGGACAGGTTCAGTTCTCGAACAGCGTTTGGAAAAACACTGGACCAACACTGTATCTACGCAGCTTGAGGGGCCATTCACAAAGAACGCGTTTTTGCGATTAAAAATGCGATACACATGGCAGTGGAATAGAACAAGCCAGGTCTAGAGACACGTTTTAAAAGTTTAACTTTAGAATGCCATGTTATATGCAAGACGTTCGCTGCAAAAGACACCAGGCGCAACAGTCAAACCCGTGTAGCGCATCTGCACATAAAGACTAACACAGAACGCATTTTTGTCACCCTGCTCTAAAGTGCTCAATATGGACTATTAGTTATTGAGAATAATAAACATTCACATTCATTTATGTAAATGTTCCAGAACTGAATTGTGGTGAAAAGCGCAGTGAAAATTGACATAACTAAAATAAAAATAAACTCTATTTGTGGATCTTGACAGTAAAAGGCCTATCTAAAAATGTCCCCTTCAGTGAAATATTTGCTGTAAAATATTCAATGATTTTTATTAAGTAAACTCAACAGTTACATTTATACTGTTAGTAATATTCCAAGATGAACACTTGGTGGACTGAATTAACTTAACTAGTTTATCCATACTTTTTTTTATTTTACAAAAATTGTTAAAACATAAGAACCAGATATTATACATCAGGCTTTTGAGGAACATTTATATGTACATCTCTCAATCATTCTTGTATTGCATTGCATTACATGTTTTGTCACCACAATAAAAACTACAAAACTCTGATCATAAAACCTGGCATCTAAATATCATCTTACCAAGACATATTATTAGGAAATATAGTGTAAAAACTGATATTTATATGTATTTTATGGAAGTAGTCAGCTATACTGCTAAGATCTCATTGATTTATCACAAGCTATCAGGATTTCATATTCCTTTTAGCCTAGGCTATATAAATATCAGCAATTGCCTAAAATTGCATAAATCTGCTCAGTTTGGGCCTCTGAATACAATTTTGATAAGGATTAAATGTTTTTATCCTCCTCAGGTATGAGCTCCATATTCTCACTACATCATATTTGAGCCTGATGTATCAAATATGATACTCAACAACAACAACAACAAAAACACATGCAAACATGCAAGTTTCAACACAACGTTACTGTTCCGTTTAAAAAAAGTTTCTATTTTCTGACTATTATTTCTTATATCAGGTGTAACAGGGTTTATATGGATGACTGAAAGGAAGTGCAGTTTATGCCTCAGAAAATGGCATGACATTAGGCCGCGGTGCAGGAAATATTAAAGTTCCACAACATAAAAATGGCAAAGCATCAGTGCTGTGAGTGGTAATTTCCATTGGTGCCACTGATAACAACAAAGCTTAAAATAGCTCTCAAGCACAGGTCAGTTTGCATGTCCTCTACAAGTAAATAGAGCCCTGCCTCCCTCTCCTGTAAAAACAGCTCGGTAATATAATAACGGGGTGGAACATGAAACAGCCTGAAGGTTAATAACCAGGTTTGAGTTACTGAAATCTATCAATAGAGAAACCAATCAAACTGTTTACAACTCATTCATGCAGAGAACGGCGTGTTTGATACAAATTCGCTCGTTGGTTAATGCAGCTCTAAGAAGAATGATGCTAACATCACTGGTTAAAATGCTACTGTGAACTGACAGAAGGTTAAATTGCAGAAAAACGTAAAAATTGAAACATGCAGCCAGGGGTGTTTCTCATGTGCAGATGTTTAGCATTTAGGCTAACACACTGCATGGACTGAACATTAGATCATATAAGTTAAGGAGCAAAACAACGTGGATAAAGACAAACCCGGTATCGTGTATACCTCTTAATTCACGCGGAGAACGCATTTCTTCAGATTTCCATAAAAATCACACCATTTCTATTAATTTTCCACACTTCTTAGCAACGTTATGGGCGCCTTTTTTCGGTGAAAACGGAAACAACCGATCAGTTTCAAAATGGCCGGCAAGATTTTAAAGTAAAAGTCACTAGATAACGGTTACTAGATAACGGTATCTGGTAACCTGCTGGTAACCATGTAAATTGTAAAATAAACAAACACACTAGCTCATGTAAAATACAATAAAGCAGTTAATAATTTCAGAATACTTTTATAGATTTTAAAGAAGGAGACGAAGAACAAAAAAGACCACTACAAGTAAATACTAGTAGAAAATAAAGCTTCCCTTTGGTATTAGTCCTGATTAATAAACGTAAAGTGCAAAATAAAATAAAATACAATTATTTCTTTATTATAATGCCATAACATTATTATCACTTCTTGCGTAAAACAGTCAAAATCCCCTCATAAGAATACTTAATTTAGCTGTACTTACTAGGATACATTCAAGTAACTTGGTTTTAAACAATAGTTTAAACAAGATAACATTTGTAGTCCTGGAGGCAGCATCAGTTATAGAAGAATATTTTGTATATTAATACAATTGGAAGTTATAATGCTAATAACAAAAATTCTTATATTTAAAATTTTTATAACTTAAAAAAAAACACAATAAAAAAAAGATCATCACATGGAAACAAGTCAAAGTTGTTACATCATAACTACAAAAAAGGCCAGCTTGTTTTGTAAACATGATTAAATAATGTTTTCAGAACATTTTTAAATCAATGATATAATTCCATATGTTGGTATGGGTCTATACAACAACGTCTCATAACAATAAAGCATAACTCATTCACACTGACAGCAAAATGTTTAAAGAAAACAGCAGCAAGGCCGTATGTCTCTGTCATTGAATGTCCTGTTATTTATACATTTGTTGATCAATTGGAAATGCAACTTAACCAAAGGTCCCTGTCATTAAAAGCCTTTTTTTTTTGTTTCAGCTAAATTCCTACTCAGTCATCATTTCAGCTAGCTGAATCTCACTGAGAACCAGTGTGAATAGTTAATATTTCAGTGTCACAACCACATTAATACACTTTGCCCTTGTACTGTAGAACACATGGCTCAGCTCATCAAGTTAAAATCTATTGTCCAGTTAAAACTTAACGTACAATAGAGCAACAACACATTTTTCATGAAAGTGTAATACATTCTTTGCACTGAAATAGTTCGCCATAAGTCTCAAAGTGGTCGATGGTCGTAATTAAAAACTCCATTCGTGTTGTCAGATGTAATAGAATTAGCTCATTTGGTCCAATTCTCTAATTTTTGCCCTTAAGTGTCTTTTACGGATTTTGATCATCCACTTAATGCTGAGTTTGGCAAACTCTGCTGCTTTAAATAGAGCCATGAAGACACCACACAATATGGCTATAGTGTTCCACGGGTTTGCTGTGACTATCTGTTCAAAAACAAAAGGCACACTTAATTAGACTCTCTGTATAGCATTATACAGAGACAATTAGTTTAATATTTAATTATGTGTTCACTTACATCTTTCACTTGCTGTATAAATGGATCTCGCCATTGGAACACAACAAAGAAAAGCTCGTTGGCTTGCTCCTGTGGCGGCCTCTTGTCCATGTACTTCACCACACTGGACTGAAATAAATATGGATGATTATCAAGTAAGTGGCTGCAACAAAATACTCAGTATTATAGGTGGATCAAGTGTAATATATATAAAAGGACATATTATGCCCTTTTATGAAGTCTTGATTTTGTTTTTAGGTTTTACAAGAATAGGTTTTCATGCTTGAATGTTCAAAAAACATTATTTTTCACATATTTTACATTGTTGCAGCACCTCAATACCCAATCTGTCAGTGCATCTCAATCAGAAACGATTCCAATGATATAATTTCTCTGCGCAGTTATCGTTATAGCCGTGGTGTGAACTCTGCTATTCTTTAATATTGAGATTTTTTTTTTTAGAACTATATTTATTGTTATCCATGTAGTTATCATCCTTGGTGTGAACGGCCTTTACCTCCTTTTGGAGTGACTTTGTGCTTTGTAACTTTGCAACTTTTTTCATGCTCAAACTGCAACATTACACACTAAAGAATGTTGACCATGCAAAAAGCAAGGTCCTCTTTAAGAAATGGCTAAAAAGCCTAATTTGGTTGACCACTAATCTGAATATTTATATAAAAAACATGATCACTTGATTTTCCATGGTGGTTATGACCCTGATTGTTATACTAGCATGCTGAAGTTGACAAAGACTAAAAAAATAGCATAACAAATCTATTACCTCCTGTCTAAATTCAACTGATTCATTTCCTCTGCCTGACGTCTTGACCAAAGACATTTTGACCCATGTCCGAAATCCCCCAGAGAAGGTCCACATGGAGTAGTTCCTTTCACAGTCCATCATAAAAGCTGCTTTATCCGAGCTGATAAGAAAAATACTTTTTTATATAAACAGTCAAACAAATCTGATTCATGCTGAACATTTGTATATAGATCTACCTTTTATGCAAGTCACTGAATGTGGCAAAAAACATGTAACTGATAGCGCTGAAATCCTCCTCCGTTTCATTCCGACTGAACTGAAGGAATATAAGTTCTCGGTTCCTCACATCAGTCGGCCCTCTGACCACTATGGCTCGCTTCTGCGGCATAAAAGATTATTAATAGTAGCATTTCTTCAAAAATAGTTGACGAAGAAGCTCTAAAACATACTTGCGTCTGGTTTGAATATGGCCCATAGTAAATGACCTCCTCGGTTATACAGTTACTTTTCTCTAGTCTGCCCGATGCAACAAGAGGTGGAATGTTGTCATGATAGTGATGCATGCAACTTAATAACTGCGCCTTCCCAGGATACAAAGCCATTCCTGTTCGCAAAGGAATGATGAAAGATTCTGTAAATAGACATAATGAGAGATACCATAACATGACAGTGTATTATAGCTCACCTGGTGCAGTAAACTCCTCAACTTCTTTGTATGAAACAGACATCACTGGATGGTTGAGTTTCTCCATGAAGTCTGAAATAGTCTGGTAGGCCAAGAACACAGCCACTGTAGTGAGCAGCAGGTAAATGAGGACAAGGATGACTGTGAAAACATTCTTCAGGCAAGCTTTGTTGAAACCAATGGGCATTAGATTGCTGTCCACAGCATCCTCATCTGCAATATGAATTGCTTTATATTATTTTAAAGCAATGTCTTTAATAAAAGACACAATATAGAACTGTCCCAGAATTTAAATGTTCAATTTGTCTAAATAAATAAATAATGTATTGTCCAAGAAGAGAAATTTGTACAAATAAATAAATAAATAAAAATAACACAATTGCACCACTAGACCATATCACATTATAACTATAGCATACATAAATCAAATAAAAAAATATATAGATTCAGTCCTCTATGTCAGATTACCTGGTCAGTGAAAACGGGTTACTTTGTGGTTTACTATGTTTTTATTTCAGCAACTTAAATGTATCATACAATCAAACATTGTTAAATCAACTCCCTAAGTTAATTTAACTTATAAATCAATACATTATTTATATATTAAATATGTAAATAAATAAAATATATATTAATTTATAATAAATAAATGCAAAACACAAAAATACATACATAGGCCTACCTACAAGTCTAGTCAAGTCACCTTTATTTATATTGTGCTTTATACAATACAGATTGTTTCAAAACAACAGGAAAATGATTCAATGATGTAAACAGAGTTCATTTTGGCTGTCATTGATCAGCTGAAGTCAGTTCACTGTTTATTCAGTTCCGTTGTGAAGATCATTAATTATTAAATTAGTTAATTTAATCTATAAATTAACAGTTTTGCAGAAAATCGTGATGTTTTCTGAATACATAAAAGTGTACCACCACAATATAACTATAGGATTAATGGTAACAATTTACAATAAGCTTCATTAGTTAGCATTAGTTAATGTATTATGAACTAACCATGAGCAATACATTTGTTACTGTATTGTTAATCTTTGTTAACGTTACTTAATAAAAATATAGCTGTTCATTGTTAGTTCACAGTGCATCAACTAATGTTTACAAATACAACATTTGATTTGAATAATGTATGAGTAAATGTTGAAATTAATATAAACTAAGATTAATAAATGCTGTAGAAGTATTGTTCATTGTTAGTTCATGTTAACTAAGGTAGTTAACTAATGAACCGTATTGTAAAGTGTTACCGGATTAATACCTCAATCTAGATCTACACACATGAACAGAAAAACAATGACTTATCAGTGTCATATTTTAGGAACAAGTTCTGACCTGGTAAAGGGTCACAGCTAGCTTCATCATGCTCCACTTCAGAAACATCATTGTTTTCGTAAGACTCAAGTGGCCCAGCAGCAGCACAGTCCTCACCATTGAACTACAATGCAACAACAATAAGTGACATAAAAAAAATACAGACAAATACAGTTATTTACAGTTGCACATTTAATGTATATTTGACAGTATTTTGCGCCTCGTATCTCTCTAACGACCAGCGGTCAGCTGATATCACATGACTGCAGCTTCTGCTTTACTCGCTGTAAAGAAACTAGTGCTTTCATACGGATCGCGGTTACAACCCTATGAATGAGTCCTGCTGGATCAAAACCGCATTTCACACGCTAGTTAGTTTCATTACCTCCTGATAAGATCGAGATGTGTCTCTCCTCAGCATTGTGCTTCACCTTCGAATATTTGGGGCTTTTAAACTTTGCCATCAACTTGCAGGAGCAGGACCCAGACCTTCTCATCTCTTGTTACGGATAGTCTCGAGGAGCTCGCGTGAGGCTCAGCCGACGGCCAACAAACATGCCAAGCGTGACATCACAGCTGTTAGTTAGTTGGGGAGGGCTTGGATACTATCTTTGATCTTATTCTGAAAAGTTTACGCAAAGTCTTCCATAACACATAATAACACGATTTAGGTTCTGTTTCGTATTTTCTATCACACCACATGGTTTCCATAAATGTTTTCTCAGTAGCCTAATGAGAAGCCAGCACTTTCGTAAAGAAATTAAGTTATTTTCTCAACAGTACTGGGGGAGTTTTTTAAAAGGCAGAATAACATGTAGTGTTGTTTCGTGAACTCTTTTTAAAGCGAATAATTCGTTCGTTATCATTCACATTTAAGAGACGTTATTTTCGTTCGTTCCTTTTGAAGCGCGTGACGTGGTATCTCCGTGACTGACTGTCTGTGCTGTGCCTTGAAAGACTGACTATGGCAAGAGCCAATAGCATTCAAGGTGGGCTGTGACGGAACATTTCATTGGTTGGGTTTACTGAACGACTACGCCCCCGTCACTGAACGAGTCTCGGAACGGCAAGGGTCAATAGTATCTGTCTGCAGTCTGCAAGACTTCGAGTTACGCCCCTTCAAGTTACGCCCACTTTAGCAAGACTTCAAGTTACGCCCACTTTTAGTCACGCCCCTTCAAGTTATGCCTACTTCCAAATTACCGCGACAACAGTTCCATTTGCTCTCGCACGAGTTTAACATAAACGAGAACAGTTTCATATGCTCTCGCACGAGTTTAACATAAACGAGAACAGTTTCATATGCTCTCGCACGAGTTTAACATAAACGAGAAGTTTCATATGCTCTCGCACGAGTTTAACATAACAGAAACCTCTGAGATGATATCTTCAAAATTCTTATTTTGTTTTGTCTGTATACAGCAAAGCAAGTTGCAATCTGCATTAGCACCAATGTATTGATAATGTATTGCTAGAAACCATATTGCAATGTAATGTTTTTTTATATAAATATTTTTAAACATCTTTCCATGTCGTATGCCTGATGTGCTGACAATTCATTTTTGACACCACTAATGAACAGTTAAATGCACCGCTGTCAAACACATCTTATAATACTTTGAGACAAATTAACTACAAGCACAGTCATCACAAAAACTTTTATTGAAGGACAACAAGGGTTTATGCAAACACAACCTATAAGTTCTGAACTTCTGGAAAATCAGACCGTGCCTCCAGCCGCAAAAAAAAAAACAGTCCATGCTGCAGTATCCTGCAAAGTCATTTTCACAGTAGAACCCTTGTAGGTTTCCTCTTCGTCCACATCCCCAGTATCCTTCACAGTCTTTATACAGGTCATTGCATAGAATGCAACGGGAGACCAAAGGGAACTCTGTAGGTCCTTCTATGGTCCTCTGAAAAGGAGTTCCAGTTTACCACACCTGATGACAAAAGTAGTATGTGTAAAACTTGTTTGCATTTTTTTCTTTTTTTTAATACGAAATTTTCTGGTAGCAGTGTGTCTTCAGTATTCATTTTATTAGTGGTGTGCCTCCACAATTTTTTTTTTTAGCAATTAAAAGATACACTTATTGCCTAAAACAAAAAGCATTAGTCTAGTGTAGATTATATTATGATGATTAAAATAATTTTAGCACTAGAACCTTGACTTGAATCACAACTTAGGCCCAGACATAGATAAATGGACAAATGTAGAATCGTCATTTAAAAGCACCACAGCTGCACAAAAATCACAAAGGAAACTGGTATACTGGTATAGAAAAGATTAAATTAGACAACATCTATGTACAACATGCATTTACATTTTAATAATGGCAAGTGACCACTCCAGGGGCCATCTAATGTGTTGTGTTGCTGGCATCTGTGGGACAAAGATTGAGTAGCTCAAAGTTCCAAATGCTTTTCTTTGCCCTTGCTGCGATGTAAAAAGCGGCGAGCCTGCATGTCCTAGTTGAGTGCATGATGCTGTGAGTGGGAGACTTTCACCTATAGCTCAGAGGGGCTTTACCTCTAAAAAATATGGAGGAGGGCAGAAGGAAAGAGACATAACTTACTGTCTAGCCAGCAGAAGTGTGCTTCCTTCAGAAAGGATTCCTCTCTCACTATCCTCCAGAACCGAGTGCATGTGAGAGCAAGGGTGCAAATTGCAGGATCACCATCTTGTAACATGCCTTCACGTGCTATCAGAAATGAGATATTTACAACTTCTGAAATCGTAATTACGAGCTCATTAAACTCAAGTTCGAAATGGGAGGGTGTTCATGCAACGTTAAAACATGTTTTAACAAGGAACTCATTACGACAAGGCAACAATAACTTAGACCGTAAAAAACTATTGCTTACTTAACTTTAAACGAGGACCGATAAGTTTTAATAGATTATCAACTCTAGAAACAATACCAAAATGTGTATGAAAATGACTGACACATTTCATTTTAAACGGTTATCTGTGGAAAATATTCTTACCGTTGTCTCTAAACGAATTGCCATCTTGCCACTGATCTATCAGTGCATCTTGCCAACAACATCTCGTTCTGACATATCGCGTGGTTCGGTGTGATTTGGACAACTTCAAGTTACGCCCAACTTCAAGTTACGCCCGACTTCAAGTTACGCCCCTCTCTTGCAGTCCGCAGACAGACCCATCTCGCAAGGGTGCTGCCAGAGAATGTCTAATATGGTGCTGCTAACCCTACTGGACGACAGGGGGCATGTACACTGTAGTTCAGGTTTGTCATCATGTGAGTCAGTCAGCCTCGTTATATGAGGTTTGTTATGTTTATAAAAAATAAATGATGACCATAAAAATGTAAGTTATGGAAGAACGTTAGGCTACTAAACACTTAATTTATTTGGAAGCTTATGATGGTTGGACAGGACACTATTCTCTAGTAGATTTGTAGGCACGCAAATTTCAGTATATAGTTTGTTTTTCAAGTTTCAGGTTTGTTTTTATTTATATAGCACATTTTAAAACAGCAAACATGGCTGACCAAAGTTCTGAACAAAACACAAGATAAAGAGACGAGGCCAAACAAACCACACATTCATGACAGAAGCTCACAATGCATTAAAAGCTAAAGATAAAAAAGTAGTGTAAAATTTGGTATATAAATTAGGCCTATATGAGACTAGCGCTGAATTCGGAACCGCATACTAGTATACTGCTTATACTACTTTGTTGTTTACCATATCTATCTATGGCAGAAATAGTAAGAGTAGTATGCGGTTCCGAATGCATATAGGGCTGTGTAACAATTCAAAGGCTGCATGCTTTGAAGGCCTCGAAGGTTGGATTGAGCATTGTTAAATGGGACGGTCTAGCCTACGGAGGATTGTTCTTGTCACCTAGAAACTCTGACAGGTGCCGTTGAAGAGCGTTGTTCTGGACATTTTTTTAAAGTTATATTAAACTGTCTAAAAAGAAAACAGGGTTTACAAACTGTCTAAATATGTTCACCATGGTCCATTTCTGTATATAATAAAGAGTACAAAGTGTATAATGAAGTATACACTTATAAAGATGTATAATCGATCTTAAGTAAGATATGTCAACGTTTGAACCGCTTTAAAGTTTTTTTTTCTTTTCATTTGTATCATTAGATATTTGAGTCAGTTGAAACCCAATAATTAGGTTTAAAAGTGTAATTCGGCAATTTCTCTCCAAAAAAATCCTGTCGTCACTGGCGCACAATGATTTCTGGGGTAGGCAAGGCCGCGAAGGATATATCTGTTCTGTTGTATCCTTCATTTCACAAGACACGTATAGGACGCATTTGGAGGCCGCATTTGAAGGAGCCTTCGAATTGGGATAGCCTTCGTCGTGCCGCAGTGATGCAATCGGCTTTCGAATCTGCCCTTCAAAGGATGCAGCCTCTGAATTGTGACGCAGCTATAAGTCCATTTTTTAATGCCCTTCCCTCTAACTTCCCTCCGTCTCGTTCACTTAAATGTGCGACATAGTGTATGCTGCACGAGTGCCCAGTACTGGCAGAACCCTTGCAATGTCAGAACACCCCCTTGATCACGGGAATCCGCAATGGAGATGATTTATTATTTACAGTTTTTTCTCTTATGGATTTGTTTTACACACCATTCCAATGGGCTGTATGCATGCATGGGCTGTTGGAGAATATGTAAAAAAAATTACACAAACTAAAATGATAACAATACAGTTGTATTGTGGTCTATGGATCTGTCTTAAGTGTACATATTGGCTGCATCCGAAATCGCATACTTTCTTCAGTAGGTACTTTTTTTGAATAAGTAATTATTTCATGGCCGCTAAAAAAGTACTTTAATATCCCCCATGTTGTCTTCTCTGTCTATATTTATTCCAACAAAACTATAAAATCCTTCAAAAATAATTTTTCTCTCTATCAAACTTTTATTTGTAATTGCACAAGTATTGACAGTAGAAAATGTTGATTTGTAAAGATCTATCTAAAGCGTAGATTTGTAAAGATCTATTAAAATGTAACAAAAGTTTGTGCTTCAGAATTGTGAAGCTTTGGGCTTTTTAAATATGGGCTTTATAAAATAAGATACAATATTGTTATAAATGTAGAGATTTATTAAATCTGTGCATTTTTATGGATAATAACCATGACATTCTGAGAATTCCCTCGTTTAAAATATTGAGGAACTTGGCTGTAAACAATAAGCCAAGTTCCAAAGAGGAGTTTCATTGGTGCGCGTCACTTCCGGTCCATCTCACGTGAATGGAGAAACAGAAACTCGCGGCAAGTGGAAGTTTAGAAAGTTCCCAAGCAGAAGTTGTTGTTTTTAGAATTTTCATGAAGTGCAAAATCACACAGGTCCACTATATCCGGACCCCAAACAGCGATACGTTAAAATATTAAACCATTTTGTCCTAAAGCACCAATTAGATACTGTTCCGAAACAAATGGAGCATTTCCACCTCCGATTGTGAAAGCTGATCTGAGATCAGCATCTGAAAGAGTGAATGGAAACACAGAGAGACACTCCCGTGACAACAAGGAAACTGTAGCCGCAGACTCGGTTCTTACAAACGTCAACACGGACAGTCCACAATGTTTTATGTCCGTAGTGTTGTATTATACACGTTACTGTGTATTTGTTCCACAAATGATGATAGCAAAATAAAAAACGCATCGAAACCGGTGCGTTTGTTCACCGAGGAGGAGTTGCAAAGATACGATGGGAGCGAGGTATGTTCCGTCACAAAAACACGGCGCTAGTTTTATACGCTATTTCGAAACTATGTTCTTTTGATTTATTATTAAATGCAAATTGTATTTATTGACGAGTTTTATAAATTTATTGACGAGTTAACGTGCCGCGCCCCCTTTACAGGAGGGACAACCAATTTACATGGCCATTAAAGGAGTAGTGTTTGACGTCACAACTGGAAAAGGTCAGATGTGGAATACAACTTCACCTTCTTCAATCTTTTGTGTGCTGGTGGAAGTTTCAAACTAATAGACACTCATTAGAGGAAGTAGATCTATCAGTTTAGATCATTGCTTTGTTCCCTATTTTGATTTTATGTGTGTCCTCACTTATCTGGTGAAATATTATGACAACTGACTAGTGAGGGCACCCTCCTTACTAGTTAAAAAGGCTTGTAAATCGGCCAAAACATGTTTTTAATTTAAATATAGTGCTTTGCACGTTTCTGTTAGGGTTGTGTTTAGGGGTAGGACTTGGGTTAAGAAAATATCCTTAATGTGATTTAAAATCAGTAGAAGTCTATACAATGTCCTCACTCACTAATACAGTATAGTGAAACAAACGTGTGTGTGTGTGTGTGTGTTAGAATTAAGCAGTGTAACCACAGGCCTATTTGCATTTTACTGGATCAAGTTTCCAACAGTCCTGGGAAAATACAGGAATTTCCAGGGTTGGAAAAACAATAAAGCTATGCGATTTAAGGCCCCGATATACTCACGGTGAAGTTATTTTTCGTTCTTCGCTTGTGGAAAAAAGATGTTCGAAATACGCAGTGATACACTATCTAACATCCAACACCGCCCACAATGCTGAGAGCGAATTTAGATGAATATGTAAATATGTGCTGTGTGCTTTTCTCTCACAAAATTGAGAAAACAGCAAGCATTTTAATAAAGCATAAGAAAACCATATGATCATAGCAACGTGGATATGTTTGCACGAGCTCTGCAAATCGGCACTCAAGTAAAGTCACGTCACGTTTATTTATATATCTTTTTATATAATAGATTGCTTAAAATCAAGCACCGTATTAAACATGGAAAACAGTACCAGTGTCTCATTTAATCAGAAGTACAACTTCATTTTCTGCTATAAAGCAGCTCTCTAGTCTAGTGTGTTCATGGTTTCACTCGCGGACGTCTGACCTCGACCGACTGAACAGGAGAAATGAAATGAAGATTTCCACATGATCACACGGAGCCTTCCTAGGCACACCTGCCTATTACGTAATCGCCACGGAACAATGGAAGTACAATGGTCTTTACCAGCCGTAGGAAACTTTTCGAACTCCCAAAACGAACTTCGTTACGGCCTGATTTTGTTCGAAATGATGTCACATCAGTTCGTTCTTCGATTTCGCTTGAAGTATATCAGGGCCTTTAGCAAAGTTCCAGGATTCATGAGAATTTCTATAGTGTATTTAAAGTCACCATGAAACCAAAACTGACAATTCTTAGTTTTTATTCGTGCACATCATTTTTTTTTTAATTCACGTGACCTCGTAATCTTTAATCAAAATAACTTTTCTTCTCTGATGGTGTGCTTACTGGCACGAGGGCGGGACAACCTGTCAATCACATGAGATCACAGCAATAGCAAACCACAACAATCCAACGATCCAATCAATTCTCGATGGACAAAATCAAGCCCCGCCCTACATTTTTTCTTGTCCGAGAAGCCGTTTCACTCAGATATACGTTGCAATAGGAGTAGCTAAAAAAGTAATGGGAATTCCTCGGGTCAGAAAGTGTGGAAACCTTGTTTTGTCTCTTTCATTTCCAGAATTTTACGGAAAGGGAGCATCTTATAATGCCCTTGTGGGCAAAGACTCAACCAGAGCTGTGGCCAAAATGTCCCTCGACCCCGCAGATCTCACACATGACACTGTAAGTTGGGGATTTTATAAAGATCACAACTATGCTACAGAAAAAAAAGTTACAGCTTCTTCATATAAACTGTTGTTAGATTGAATATTGGATTCCACTTTTTTAGACGGGCCTCACTGAGAATCAACTTCAATCCCTCGAGCAGATATTTAAAGGCACATACAAAGCAAAGTACCCTATCATCGGATACACCAGCAGGCGCGTTCTCAATGAGGACGGCAGCCCCAATGAAGACTTCAAACCTGAAGACCAACTTAATTTCAACATTAAAGATGAATTTTGATGCTGAGACAGCCTTTAAAGATAATTGTCTTGTAATAAAGATATCCAACAATCCAATCAAAAGTCTGAATAATAGTTGTTTGTGACATCTGGCAGTAGTGGGCATGTGTAAATTTGAGGTTGTCTGGTGGTCTTTCAGCCTACAACCTAGAAAATATTATGATGCATTATATCCCACGTGGGTTTTTCCCTGGTGGGCTGCTTTGAAGGTCATTCAAATGAGGCCACCTACAGGTGTGATTAAAATATATATATACGGTAGGTACGTCATTTGGCCTTTTTAAATGTATCAAACGATGCTAGAAAATGATTTTTAATGTTTGTGCTGTTTAAAAAGTATTGATTATTGTAAGCCTGCAATAAATCACTTGGTTTCTCACTGTACACGAGGGGAAAGTTTGGTGATTCACACATGTAGAAATTGAAATTGCTTTTGTGGTGAGGGGTTTCGTTTTACAAATTAAGAAGTTAAGCGTTAATGTTATCATTCCACAACATCATTTTTACTCAAACGCCATCTCAGTCATAATTATAGTGTTTGTGTCTAATCTATATAAAATGCCCTTGATGACCAGAAATGTTTCACATTAATCTGAGAGAGAGTTGTTTGTTAATTCGGCTTGTTGTCCTGTCATATTAGTGTCATCTGGGATATTTTAAGTCTGAATGGAATGTAATAAACAAGTTGTTTAGAAACTCACAGACTGTTGTCATCTGGTCTCAAAAGAGTGTGATGTCAGGCTATTGGAACATGGCTGTTCAACATGTAGAAGAGACCGGGGCTAGTTGTCACAAGAGCTAAAACTCAGTAAGGATCTGAAAAAAAAGGTCTAGTTGTACAAAAAAATTGTTCGGCATATTTATTCTACCATTTAAATGTTTGAGGTCAGTAATGTTTAATGTTTTTGAAAGAAGTGTCTTATACTCACCAAGGCTTCATTTATTTGCTCAAAAATACAGTAAAAACAGCAATTTTGTGGAATATTATTACTATTTAAAGCAGCCAGTCTTCAGTGTCACATGATCCTTCATTAATCGTTTTAATATACTGATTTGCAAGAAACATTTCTGATTATCATCAATGTGCTTCTGATATTTTTGTGTTAACAATGCAGGGTTCTTTTTTCAACAAATTTAAAAGAACATGTATTTGAAATATAAATCTTATGTAACATAAATGTCTTCCACCTTTGATTGATTGAATGTAACCTTGCTTGATCCCAAACTTTTATATTATATTATATATTTTTAAACCAAAATTATATGATTCTTATTTGTTCTACTGTTTGATTTCCACTGGGAAAAAATATATATTTAATGGCACATTCCCTGCATTGGGGCATATAAAATGCCCTGGTAAATAAAAATGGACATTTTCAGTTTTTTTAAATAACCAAGGCTGTAAGGTAAGTGCCTTAAAATCAAACTGAAATCTGCTGCCCAGTTCTCCCCAGTTCTCGAAAGAACTAACTGTTCAAACTTGAGATTTTAAGAAGACTCGCTTCTTAAAGTTTTAAACTCCCCTGCATGTTTAACTTTCAAAAACATCAAAAGGCTCCTGATGAGAAGGCAATGACCTGATTTCCAGGGAGACTGTAAGCAGTAGGAGGGTATATGCAGAAAGGCATTTGGTCAAATGCAGCTCTTTTATTTTCATGATGAATTTACCCATTATACATCTTACTTTAAAACATGGGGGCTGGCCGGTTTCATGAGCGACAGTGAGTCAGTTAGCAAAACACTGTCAGATTCGGAGTCTCAAAATGATGTTTTTTGTTTCTTTTAAAAAGTCCCGGGGTATCATTAGCATTTACAGCACAATAATGAATCATTGTAAAAGTGCCTTTACTGTAAACACTAGCCAGGCTTAATTAGTATCCTATTTACCAGAAAACCCTCAGAAACTGAAATTGATTTCAAGAAATAATACAAAATGACTAAATGCCAAGCAACTGCCATGCATTTTTATCTTTATAAGATATAGTATGCAATGATATGTTACACAATAATGATTGATGTCTTAAGATATTAAACTCCAATTGGACACCCCCATATAGTATATATTCGACCTCACACGAGTGACGTATGTCACACTTTCCACCCTCGGTCACAACAACTTGCCTTTTGTAGCTAAAGAGGTGTTGATGGTGGGAGCCCGTGATGCTGCTTCCTGTCTCCATTGCACATCAGAATTTCCCCTTTGCCCGCCCACTTGTATTTTGTGTGGTGCAGTGGGCTGTTTCACTTCAGTCTGTCTGAGTCTCTTGGTACAGTCTGTTCTGCTCCGGAGTCAATGTAGCTTGTTGCTTTCTCCAGCCACCCACAACATTTGACATCTGCTTGAATTTTTTATAGTGGTGAGTAACATTTATTTACAAATACTGTTTTTATTGTACCGGTAGTGTGTTATTACCCTGGTTTGGGAGCTGTTAGCTAATTCAATTAAACATAATTATGCATACATTCTACTGTGATTAATATTACCACTTGATATTTTGCTAATCATTTTGTTATGTGTAGAAGTCTGAAACTGAGTCTATTTAATTTGATTATTTTACTAAATGCATTATTTGGATCATGGACTTTGGGTGTTGATTTGCCAAGTTTGATTCTATGATCCGCTCTGTATTAAGTTGCTGTAATAAATGAAACTGCAAGTTCTATAATCACTAATCAAACCATTTTCACTGATCAGGTAATCTGACGAGGACTGATCTATTGGTCATCACAACCCAGCAAACCCATGAAGGTGCTGAGTGGTCACGACGTGGTAAGTTATCACCTTCACGCATAGTTTCACTCACCTATTGTCCCTTAATGTCATCATGGAAACTGATTAGTACGTATTTGAATTGACCTGCTTCCACAAATCTCAATGAAAGGATAAACACATCTTTTGTTCTTTCTGTTTCAGTCTAAATCGTTGACTCAAAACAGCATGGACCTATTCATCATGCCAGCCACAGATGTAAGTACTGTATATTGATCCCAAGATCTTACGCATACAGCACTTCTTATCACCTTCTGATTGATAGATTAGGGCAATTAAGGATTCTTTAAAGGCTGAGCATTGAGAACAAAGCCTAAAATGGGATATTACAAAGTCCTGACCTGTTACAGCTCAATATATTTGACCAACAAAGCTTGCTTATTTAAGCTCTTGTTGCACCAACCTAAAATTCCCCAATTACCATTTTTAGTTCTTCCTCTTAGATATGCCTCTGTAGTTCATTGCTTCATCTGATGGATTGCTTTCTATTTCTATTAGGTTCCACTGAATACAGGCATCTCCCTTAGTCAGCAGACTAATGCAAATCTGACCAGGATCTCCCCCACTGGTAAGCTTACAGTCTCACTTCTGTTCTTTTAAATGTCATTGCTCTTGTTGTCTTGGACTTTTTGATGTCGAAAAGAAAAACAACAACAACAACAACAACAACCTTTCAAAACCAGAGTTAATGCAGTTTACTGTAAATTAGAATATCAGACTACTGTATGCTAGTGGAATAGTGGGTTTTTACAGTTTCTTTATTGATATTCAACAGGAAACATAAACATCAATCAAAGGCGTTGGAGGAGCATGTTTCGACGAGTACAGAAAAGGAACATGGAATCCCATGATGCAAGTGTACATCCCGAAAACAAACTGTTTGGGCGAGCCTTGTCGGATATCTGTCAAAAAGATGGCTGTCCTCCCAAACCAATTATGGTGAGAATTGTCTGAATGATCAATAGAACTTCACTGCAAAACCATAAACAAATATAGTATTTTATGTATGTGGTTTTAGTCTTTCAAATGTCTCAATTTACCTCAATTTGCTTCACAGGATATCCTTACATTGCTACTGAGAAAGGGTCCAGACACCGAGGGGGTGTTCAGGAAGGCAGGGAACGCCAGACTGCTGAGAGAGTTCAAGAAGCAGCTCAACGATGGGATAGAAGTGGATCTGACAGACCAGTCAGTGTTTTTGCTTGCTGATCTTATCAAGGTATGGGACGAACTTGAGCAACATGATTTGATTTGAGTGATTGACAGTAATGAAGTCTAAAAGATGCATATTTGGTCATTAATTCCCTGGGTTTTGTGTATTCCGATTTGCAGGATTTTCTTAGACAACTGCCTGGCAGTTTGCTAATGGTGGACAAGGCCAAATCCTGGATGACTGCAATGGAAAAGGAAGATGAAGTTCAGAAGTGTGCTGAAATCAAAATGTAAGTTATCTAATGACACAGTTGGGTTGAATAAAGTGTAAATGAACTGTATTTGTGACCAGGTTTTCTTTATTTTGTCTTTAGGGTGATCAACACGCTTCCTGAGCCAAATATTCAGCTCTTGAAGCACTTGATTGTTCTGCTTTACCTCATAAGTGAGAAGGCAGAATCAAACAAGATGGTTCCCCTCAATCTAGCTACATGTGTTTCCCCCAACTTGCTTCAAACGGACAACGACGTGAAAAAGATGGAAGAGGTGAGTGTATAGTGATTTCTGAAAGTCTTAACCTTACTAAGTTCTCACACAATGTGGCCAGGAGCCAGGTAATAGCAGACTGAGTAATACTGAAACTCACCAGAGGAAGAAGTGATCAACCTAGTTTCATATCCAAACTTATTTTTACCTAATTTCATTTTTTTGCTGTCGAAGTGGCCTTTGTTTAATCCTCATGTCACTCTTTGTATTTGCAGGTGACAAATCTGACAGAGTTTCTCATTAAAAACTGCGACCAAATATTTGGTGAGGATGTGCTGATGCTCTTTGGAGACTCTGATGAAGAGGAACTCAGCGATAACCAAGGTAGCTTCTTTAACATTTTGTCTTTTTGAATGCCTATGCAGTAGATTTTATATCAATGGGCATGAAGTATCAACTGTCTCAGATGTTTCTCTGAATATTACTTAGGAGAATTTGATCTTGAATGATATCTTGGGAAATATGAGAACAGTGTGAAACATTATCTCTTCTGAAACCCTTGAAGAGAGGATGCGGGAGACTTTAGCTAAAGAGATATCATTTTAAATTGTTCTTATCTATGGGTTCATAAAGTGCTCTTTGCCATTTTGCCAGTCATTGTGCAATCAGTAGTTGTTCATCCTTTGACCAATGAGAATTTAAGAGAGGCGGTCCAGTTATACCTTCAGAAATCGAATTGGCCGTCCAATTCCAACTTGAATTTTATCTCCACACCCTCAAAACATCTTACCAATTATCTGTCTCCCGTGTGTAGGCAACCTTTACATAGTTAGAAAAGCCAATGTAGACAAAATACTTATGATCTTATAAGACTTAATTTTCTGATAATTAATAAGTATCTATCCTTGATTTCTCCTTCAGACTCGTATTCTTCACACCATCACGACTCTGCGTATGACAGTAATGACCCTGATGCAGATGGCTACAAGGGAAGTTTTTCTGACATGGACTCTATCAAATCCGGCGTTGAAGAGAATGCCCAGACACATTCCAGCACAGAGGAACCTTGGACTACAAAATTGTTGACTCGCAGACGCTCTGAACCAGCAATCGTCTTGAGCAAGGAAGTTCGGCACCTTGTCCTATCTAGGAGCCAGACAGAAATGGACTTTCATGACAAACAATTAACAAAACAGATCTCCGATGACTGTATTGTGTTTAGAGCAGGGAACAGCTTGGGGAAAAGCGGTTGTTTGGCACCTAAAACTGGGGCCAGGGCAACCTCTAAAGGC